GCTTCCACTTCCCACCTGTCTCCAGAAGGGTACTATACAATTACACAGGCTGCTTCTACTCGTGCCCAAAACATGCCCCTTCAAAATAAAGGCATACGCAAACTACTTACTTATGGAGACTAACTTAAGAATACGTTTACAAGTAAAGACTATAAAACAGCAGGAAAAATAAATGTATAAACTAGGAGAATAACTATAAAGGGAATTATAGCTCCAACACTTCTTATGTGGCTTATTACTAGACTCCCACCTTTTTTTTTTTTCCTTCAGCAACCGTTCTTGGTATCCATTCTGTTGTATTGTGTCTTCATTATTGCTACCTTTCACAGTTTAATTGAATGATGCTGATTTCCTTGCCACTTCATGTAGAGGATAAATATCCTCATTTGAAATGTTGTTAGCTTTTAGTTGGCCCCCCTCATAGTGCCCCGTAACGTAACAGATAGTCTATAGATCTGTAATGTCTTTCACTTTAAACAAGTTTTGAGTTCTGTTTTATTTTGAGAAGCGTATGTTTGCTTGTTTTCTCCACATGCTGCTGTGACGAGAACATTTCCCAAAATGGGATCAATAAAGTGAATCTTATGTTATGTGTGTGTTCCTGATGTTGTGGCTCAGATACTCAGAGGCCCGTGCGTGGCGGGCCTACCTGGGGATGCGTGTGATGTCTGTAGGAAGCAGCGGCGCAGCCACCAGAACGATCCGCCGCATCCTGCTCCACCCGCAGTACGACCAGTTCACCTCCGACTACGACATCGCCCTCCTGGAGCTCAGCGCCCCCGTCTTCTTCAACGACTTGGTGCAGCCCGTGTGTGTTCCTGCGTCCACACACAGCTTCACGACAGGCACCAACTGCTACGTCACAGGGTGGGGGGTGCTCATGGAGGACGGTAAGAGCTAACATTTTGAAACAAACTTGAAACGACCAATTTTTAATTTTCAATACGTTTTGATTTTGTTTGGATTAAAGGTGAGCTGGCCTCTCGCTTGCAAGAGGCCCCGGTGAAGATCGTCAACAGGAACACGTGTAACAAGCTGTACGACGACGCTGTCACTGCCAGGATGCTTTGCGCTGGGAACCTGCATGGAGGGGTGGACGCCTGCCAGGTGAAGTATTCATTTTTCTAGAAATGTGGCTTGCCTTATTGAATTCAATTTAAATTCAATAATTCCCAATATATCTATAAAAACCACAACAGAATGTGTGTCAAATAATTGGGACTCATACATTCATATTTCTTTTGGTCATTATGCTGTGTGTCTATGTGTGAAGGTGAATAACAAGGCAGCTAAGATAAGGCTTAACACATTTCCAATACAGCTTGAAAACTGGAGATGGCCAGTGTAAAACTAGTTACAAGTTTCAAATAATATATTACATTACATTAACCATTTCAATCAGGAGAGACTTCATTTTGTTTAAAGAACATTTATTGACACATGTCATATGATAAATGTTAAGTCTTTGGCGATTAGACCCCGCCCCCGCCGATGCCTAAAATGGTATATCTAAAGAAATGCACCGTAGCATATACCCCCCCACCCCCAGGATGGGTGAAGGAAGGGGATGTGATGAGGGTCTTGGATTAGCTCTGTGTTGGGCATCTGGATGTTGATGAAAGGGAGGTGGGATGGGAGGAGGGCGGGTCGGCATGCAATTTCCCCTTTTAGATATACCATTTAGCGACGGGGTCTAATCGCCAAAGACTTAACATTTATCATATGACATGTGTCAATAAATGTTCTTTAAACAAAATGAAGTCTCTCCTGATTGAAATGGTTAATGTAATGTAATATATTATTTGAAACTTGTAACTAGTTTTACACTGGCCATCTCCAGTTTTCAAGCTGTATTGGAAATGTGTTAAGCCTTATCTTAGCTGCCTTGTTATTCACCTTCACACATAGACACACAGCATAATGACCAAAAGAAATATGAATGTATGAGTCCCAATTATTTGACACACATTCTGTTGTGGTTTTTATAGATATATTGGGAATTATTGAATTTAAATTGAATTCAATAAGGCAAGCCACATTTCTAGAAAAATGAATACTTCACCTGGCAGGCGTCCACCCCTCCATGCAGGTTCCCAGCGCAAAGCATCCTGGCAGTGACAGCGTCGTCGTACAGCTTGTTACACGTGTTCCTGTTGACGATCTTCACCGGGGCCTCTTGCAAGCGAGAGGCCAGCTCACCTTTAATCCAAACAAAATCAAAACGTATTGAAAATTAAAAATTGGTCGTTTCAAGTTTGTTTCAAAATGTTAGCTCTTACCGTCCTCCATGAGCACCCCCCACCCTGTGACGTAGCAGTTGGTGCCTGTCGTGAAGCTGTGTGTGGACGCAGGAACACACACGGGCTGCACCAAGTCGTTGAAGAAGACGGGGGCGCTGAGCTCCAGGAGGGCGATGTCGTAGTCGGAGGTGAACTGGTCGTACTGCGGGTGGAGCAGGATGCGGCGGATCGTTCTGGTGGCTGCGCCGCTGCTTCCTACAGACATCACACGCATCCCCAGGTAGGCCCGCCACGCACGGGCCTCTGAGTATCTGAGCCACAACATCAGGAACACACACATAACATAAGATTCACTTTATTGATCCCATTTTGGGAAATGTTCTCGTCACAGCAGCATGTGGAGAAAACAAGCAAACATACGCTTCTCAAAATAAAACAGAACTCAAATGTTTAAAGTGAAAGACATTACATCTGTAGACTATCTGTTAATTACGCACTATGAGGGGCCAACTTACAGCTAACAACATTTCAAATGACGATATTATTTACATGAAGTGTGCAAGGAATAGCATATTCAATTAAATGTGAAAGGTTCAATATGAAGACACAATATACAGATGGATAAAGAACGGTTGCTGAAGGGAAAAGAGGTGGAGTCCAGTAATAAGCAACATAAGAAGTGTTGGAGCTATATATCTCTTTATATTATTTACTAGTTTAACATTTATTTTTCTTGCTGTTTTATAGTGTTTATTGTAAATGTATTCTTAGTTAGTCTCATAAGTTAAAGTAGTTTCTATGCTTTTATTTTGAAGGCATGTTTTGGGCACTGGGTGATTAGAGCACCTGGTGTAATTGTATATATTGGAGACAGGTGGAAGTGGAAGCCAGAGCACTAGGAGGCAAACGGTTTTTTACCAGGGTGTTTCGAGCCACAGGGTGTTTCGAGCCACAGGAAAGGAAAGCCATAGGGAAGGAAAGCCATAGGAAAGGAAAGCCATAGGAAAGGAAAGCCATAGGAAAGGCTTAAGGAACAAACCATAGGAAACCTGTTCATTGTCAATGATATTGGATCATAGTAAATGTACAACGGAGAATCTTGTCTGGACCTGGATCATTGCCCTGCGTAAGATCTGCTAACTAGTGCCTCAGCGGCCGTATTATTTTAAGTTAATTATCTGTTTTATTTCTATATGATTTTGGCCGCTACAAGAAGCGTTCTTTCTCACTTTATGGCGTCTGAGTCCTGGAAGCAGTGAGCTGCAGAGATGAGCCAGCGGTTAGCCACCAGCGTGGCTCCACAGACGTGACCGTACCGATCCATCTGGAGGCTGACCTGCCACGGCCAGGACCCCGCCCCGGCATCAGAGCCCCCCACGATCTTAGTCCTCTTCCTGGGCCTGGTGCCACAGCCTGGGACATACAGACGGAGGAGGAGACGCAGAATTCTCTTTTGAAATGTCACTGCCATTAGAGAAGTCTAAGTTTTTGGAGTGAGAACTTACCACAGCGCATTTCATCAGAGCCGTCAAAGCAGTCTTTTGCTCCGTCACACTCGGGGTTAACCTTACTCACACACTTCCCATTGGAACATTTGTACGAGGAGGAGGAGCAGCCTTTAAAGTCTAAAGAGTGGGACACAAGGATCCTTTCAAATAGAGAGAAAAGCACGAAGAAATAAAACGTTTAAATTGCGATATCTGAGGAACGCTCACACGCTCTGGTACAGTTGAGCTCATCGCTGCGGTCTTTACAGTCAACAACACCGTCACACACAGAAGACTTCTGCAGACACACCTTGTTGGGGCACACGTGGTAACATTTACCTCCTGTAAACAAACGCATCAGTTTTCATCTTACAATACACACACACACACACACACACACACACACACACACACACACACACACACACACACACACACACACACACACACACACACACACACACACACACACACACACACACGTTGCACTCACCACAGCTGCCCTCCTCGCTGCTGTCTGCACAGTTGCTGCTCTGAATCACACACTGGCTGCTCTGAGGCTTACACTGGCCGTTCCCACAATGCACTTCACCTGGCCTGCAGGATGCTACATGTTTTACGCATATGTGCAAACATGCACATAGAGACACACAAACACAGGCGAATCTGAGTGCAGCACAAAGGGCAGGTCTTAAGTTCAGAATATAGAGAACGAGGGAAGTGTTTGCATCTAGTCTCTCAGGCAAAAGACTTACAGCATTTAGCCTCGTCCCGTCCGTCTGAGCAGTCCTTCACTTTGTCACACACCTTCCTCAGAGGGACGCAGCGTCCGTCTCCACAGCGAAACTGCCGAGGACAGGCTGGAGACACAGGGAAGAGACTCAAATATACAGTACAGTGTAAAGGTTGATGTTTTAACCCCGGGTAGTCTGAATGAACAACTCTCCTCTCTGTATCACATGATCTGATTACCTTTTTATTCTAGAGATAGAGTTTTTGTATTTGTAGAAGTTATATATCAATCGATTTCAATAATGCGAACACACAAAATGCAACATTTATTTATGCCAGATTTACGAAAGTAGGGGGGGAACTACGAATGTATGTGTATGTTTTTTTTTCTTGTGTCTCTTTTTATCTGTTTGTTTTTTTTATATTAATTTGTATTTCTTTTTTTAATTTTATTTATTGGTTCTGTCTTTGTATACATGTATGTATGTAGGTACGTGTATGTATGTCATGTGTACATGGTGTATGTACACACATGTATGTGTATATGTGGGTATACATATGTGAGTATATGGGCACATGTATTACTGTTACTATTCTTTATTCCCTTATCTATTAATTTTCTTTCAATATTATCTTCTACATTACTTTTACCTATACATGTATGTATTTTATTTAGTTAGTTATTTAATTTACTAGCTAGGACCGGGAGGGGGGGAAAGGGAAAAAAATATATATATAAATATTGACTGTATAAATGTAAACTCATTGTGCCTGACTCAATAAAGAAAAGATTAAAAAAAAGATTTACAAAAGTAAACTCCAAAAGTGTTTAGTATGTTTCAATTCTCAGCAATATCAAGTTGTACAAAAAATGAAAATGTAAGATGTTTGTGAGCTTAAGGAAATTATATTTTTAAGAATATCGATTCCTGGAAGTTGTAAATCAATACAGAATGTACGAGATAATATTACATGAATTGATTTTCTCCCCTTTATTTGATAGCATCAGATTTGACTCACTGCCCTCTGGAGAGAAGGCTCGGTAGAGCAGGTAGAAGCCCTTGTGAGTGAGAGACTCATCTGAATGGAAGTGGAGGGAGATGGGAGAGGAGTACACCCGCTTCCTGCTGCTGTCCGACACTGGGTTACACAGCCTGGAAGCAGAGGAGCACAAAAGTATGGTGTATTACTTTTAAATGACCAATGTAGCCACAAAGAAAGTAAAAATGTCTCTTAATGTTACAGCTTAAGGCCCACACGGTTCAGTCTAGTCTTACTTGACCCCTCCGATGTCCAGCCAGTCTTTCTCACATCCATCAGACGAGGCGTCCTGAATGTCCATCATCACAATCGTCATGGAGATCAGGTATCCTGGCAACGGCGTCTGAAAGTATGCATAGAGGACCAAAGAACGTGCCAAATGACAGATAACAAGACATGATTCAATGTTTTACTGTTTCTTCCTTCTAACACGCTTTGGCCTGTGTGCACACACTCACCCGTAGAGTCCAGGTGCAGTCTATGTTAGGGGGGTAATAGGAGGGGTAGTACGGGGAGGAAATGGAGCCGTTCCAGGAGGAAATGGACCCTCCACAGCCTGCAGGGGGAGACAGTGACACAGTGAAGGACACACAACAGCAACAGGGCAAAGTAACTCAACATATCCGTCAATAAAACGTTATTTATAGGCTTTCGGTTTTTACAGCATATGACGACTCTGTCCTTGGACCCTCGCAGTGACAAGGACAAACTCCCAAAGAAACCCCACGATTAATGACTGAAGAGTTTTAGAAATTAGACAGAGTGTACAGTATGTGTTATATATAGTGTTTTAAACTATACTTCTTATATTTTCATTTATTTGTCTAAATGCTGCTACTTATCTTGTCTACCTTGGATGTGTACTTATTTGATTTGTATTTTATAAATCTCACCTGCTTTTGGGATGGCTTGGAAGTAAGCTTTGAAGATGGCTCCGTCCCTCTGCCTGCTGAAGGAGAAGGTGACCAACATCACGTTCCCAGAGGACGTCAGCTTCATGACGGGAGACGAACGGGAAATAGGAAGCCCACACCACCTGAGACACGTACATGCACCCAGGATATGTATACATGTTACAACATCAACGAGGACAATATTAAGATAATATACAAGGAAACAGACATTTAATATAACATTACAACCACTGAAGACTATATTTCTAAGTGCCTTTAACATACATTTGATCTGGGATTGAATTCTGTATTTAATTGTACGACTGGCTGCTGCACTAACGAGTGTTTCACCGTTGGACACCGTGTTTCTCTTTCTCTCTTCAGGACATGTTTGCACAGAGAAATCAGTCTTTACCTTGCGATTATCTTGTTCTGTAATGGCAGTAGGAAGTCGTAGGCGGAGAGCTTGTGGGCGGTGCAGCTCCCCGGCGTGGCACCGTGCAGCGTGAGGACGACCAGGCGGACCACGTGACCCGAGGGCACGCGGAGACGCCACTGGTAGTACGGCTTCTTGGGATTCACCAGGCTCAGGGTGCGGTTGTTGCCGTATTTGGCGTAGAGGTCAAAGGACATCGCTAGAGGGAGGGAGAGATGGATTTAATGGCAAAAATAAACACTTTTTCTCACATTTTTGACTTAGAAACAGGGGCCACATGTCACAACTAGCAGTTTCTGAATACCCAGGTCTTCACGTGTTGTAAATATGAACATCAAGTCAGATTCCCTCCTCACCTTGGAAGCCAAGCTGCCACTTCCCGCTCTGGAAGCTGTTTGGATTCTTACTCTTGTCAGATTTTTCATCTACTTCAAAGTCGTCAGGGTCCAAACCTAACACACACCCACCCACACACCCACACACACACACACACACACACACACACACACACACACACACACACACAGCAGATGTCAAAACACTTCTCAAATCCAGTACCAATCTAGAGCAACACAGAGTATACAATGATACACGCGTATAATTTTACAGTTTTTAACCCGATTATTGTAGTTATTGATAAGATGAAGCAAAGAGAAATATATATATAACATATATACTTCCACTTTTACTTCTGTGACCCGGCTGCCATCACACTACTTTATACACACAACTGTTATGCTTTTTATATTTGACGCTAATATTTGGCTCTTCACTTTTGTTGTAACAATGTAAATGTTCCCTCTTTGGGACGAATAAAGTTATCCTGCTAATATCTACGTATCTCTGACCCTCCAGTCGGTCTACAGTGTGGAGAACATGCTGTACTGTGAGAGTGTGTACCCAGCAGGTGGAGCATGTCGTCGTCCTGCTCCATGTAGTAGCGCTGCTCGTTGCGGCTGTCCTGCTGCACCTTGTTTCTGCCGGGGAGCCGGCGCTGAAACCTCTCTGGACCCGACCTCCGGATCGCCACGGCAACATCGTCCGGGGCGGAGAACTTACTCCAGTAGAAGACATTCAGTCCTTCAGCTCCTTCACTGTCACACAAAGGGTTTACAATGAAATACAGCAGAGTATAGAGGTCATGCATGTTCCTCTGTGAACTCAGTATGCTTTCTGTTGGTGCATCTTACCTGAAGGCAGTAATTCCTGAGTTCACGTAGTAAGAGCTACACGGCGAGGACTCGTAGAGTTCTGAAAACTGTGTTTATTTCAAATAAAAAGACGAAGAAGAAGAAGGGTGTAACACATACTCTTTTATCTTGCATTATTTTCTTATGATTGAGACTTTTAAGATGAATGTTAACAAGAAAATGAATACAAAAAGTGAGCTAAAAGCTACCTAAACATAGCATATAGCAAATGGCATCAAGGTTTACAATGTAGCTTCTTTTTTGTTTTTCATTAGGAANCTGAGTTCACGTAGTAAGAGCTACACGGCGAGGACTCGTAGAGTTCTGAAAACTGTTTTTATTTCAAATAAAAAGACGAAGAAGAAGAAGGGTGCAAGACATACTCTTTTATCTTTTCTTTTATCAAGAAAATGAATACAAAAAGTGAGCTAAAAGCTACCTAAACATAGCATATAGCAAATGGCATCAAGGTTTACAATGTAGCTTCTTTTTTGTTTTTCATTAGGAACAAATAGTTTACTCCAGATGTTCTCAGATCTAGTTCGCAACACAGAATTGAAAGCTGCTTTGTGCTAGTTTATTTGACTACATACTGTACAGTACAGAGCTGTAGGTGTGACATCAGAGCTGAGCACGTGAGGTCACTTTTCCCGTGTAAGCAACACATGAACACACCTGGTCGGACATGCAGCCTGCCTTCAGCAAACGCATTGTTCTTGTGTGTGTATGGAACTCTGCATGTGTGCATGTTGACTCGCACAGAGCTTCATTGTGTGTGTAGAGTTAGGACCCAGGGTGGTATGGGCTGCTGGCCTCCAGTTCACCTGGTCTTTAATGAACAGATGGCCGAACAGATCCTGTGTCCACTTCACAAGCCGGGCTAACTGACCCTCACAGCCGATTAAAGGAGCCTTACAGTGTGTCAGTAGGTTTGTGGGTATTTATACCTATCAGTTTGCAGTGCTGTAAAGTAACCAAGTACATTTATATGTAATGCTGTATTTAAGTACCCTTTTTATCTCCATTTTCTGCTACTTTGTATTTCTACTCAACTACAATTCAGATGTAACAGAGTATTCCTACTCTCTGATACTTCTACTTTTACAAGATCTGAATACTTCTCCCACCTCTGTCAGATGGTCGTTTCTCCACGGCTCAGGCATCTGACCTTCTGCCTCAAAGTGTCCCCTCTGTCATCCTCCCCCCCCCTGGCCCTACTGCCCTATCTCTCCCTCTCACCCCCATCAACAAACGGAGGTTCACCTCCTCTCTGTAGTGTCCGACACACAGAGCGGCTGATTGTGTGAAAACCACACAGACAATGTTTTTATTGAAGGCCTGCTCTTCCTCTCACTCGGCTGCCTGGGCCTAGCCTGGCTCACAAACGCCGGGCTTGTCCTCGGCCCTGAAAGGCTCGGGTCTCTGGGGGTCCGGGGAACTCGCACACTGACTGTGCCCAGCTCCAGTTTCAGCTTTACATTTAACACCACCAGAGAGAGGGGCAGAGGAGAGTTAAGTGGGGACAAAACACTGGAGGTAGGAGGAGGACAAAGCTAAAGGAATAGGAACGTAAAGACAGAAAAGAGGGAAGGAGAAAGATGGCAGCTGTGAATAATTTAGGAGAGTACAAAGTCAAAGTAAGAGCAGCGAGATCAGCCCCGAGTGTGAAGGTCAAGCAGCAACTTAAGTGACGTTCAGAGACGGACAGGTCCATCGCTCCACTTACATAGTGGTTCAAAGCCTGAGCCTGCAGGCGGAACTGAGGGGAGGAGGAGTCCGTCAGCTCCGAGGTGAAGCTCAGGTTTGGGAACTCCACGCTGCCCCCGAGGAAGAACACTGAGGAAGGTGGAGCTGCAGAGATATGAATAACATGGAGTCAAACATAAAGAAATAAGAAAAGTCCACGAGGTGTGTACTCACATGTTAGGAAGTGGAGAGTCAGTGCAATGGCAGCAGCGAGGGGAAATAAAGGCAGGACGCCGAACATCCATCTCCTCCAGGAGGCTGGAGCTTTCCCCCCCTCCACCTTCTCCTCCGCCCCATCCTCAGGCTTCGTGGGGGGGCTCAGTGGCTGGGTGGGCTCCTTCAACTCCCCCTCTCCCTTCCAGAAATAAAGACTCAAATATCATACCAGCTTCCTTATGTGTGTGCTCAAGCTCCGTCTGTTCATTCTGAAGTGATGACAGCAATATCTTAAGGCAGTGTTTGACCTGAATGAGACACAGGTTTAATGGCTGAGTGCTGCACTGAGAGGAACGGTGAGCATCTTGGAGCTGAAAGGATCTCCTAAAACATTTAAGGGGTTGGCAGGATTCCCCGGGGGGGGGCAGACAAAGCGTGGCTAGACGAGTCTGCTTTCCCACGGCCTGGCTCTGCGGTGTCAGCACTCAATCAAGTGGCTCACCCCGGACATTCATGAGAAAGACACCCACACACCCCTAGAGACAGATTTAGCAATTAAGATGACCCATGGCTGACTGGGGTGTGGATTATTAAGCATCATTCAGGTATACAAGTTCAATAAACACTCATTTGGCAACAGAAACATATAGAATACATATTAAGAGTAGAGTAGCAAAGCCACATTTGGCACAATGACAAGAGCGCTTACCTGTGCAGCGGAGCAGCCTGAGAGTCCATGCCCGGAGACGCAGTACACTTCGCAAGTTTTGCTTTTGGGGAGAGTCCTCATAGCACTGTCCCGTTTAGCTCCGCAGAGGCGATATGCAACAATACCTCAGGCATAGAAATGATGGAGAGAGAGAAAGAGAGAGGAAACCCCCGCTGTCGCTTCCCTTTTGAAAAAAAAAAAAGGTGCAGAAATCCGACCTGAGCGGCTCGGAGGCAGTGGGCTTTCACCGCCTCCCGTTCACCTGAAGTGGGAGGCAGGTGTCACACGGAGCCCCCAGAATGCAGTGCGGGGCCACAATGAGAGCACTATGAAAGGGGACAATCCCCACAACCATCCGGGCGACAGATATTGTGGGCAAACGTCCTCGCTGCGTATGGGAGGAAAGCTGGGAGGGACAAAGGGGAGCTTGAGGGAAACGTGCCCAAGGTATTACTGCTGGAGCTTGGCTGCTTGGACGCTCCACAGGGGCTCCGAGCGAGACACACAATTACAAATGCTGGCACCAAATTGTGGGGACATAACATGGAGACTAGAGGGAGGAATGCAGCAAAGACACCTGAAGAGAATTCACATAATTTCTTTACCTTTGAGTGATCTTAATAAAGTGAGAGATCCCCAACTAAGCAGATGTTGCTCTGGAAAAATACAGTCGACATACAGGCTTTTAGGGATGCTTTTATTTTTCGGTGTGAAAAGACAGAATGTTTAAGTTTTCTGTCGACACTCGATGAATAATCCTTTCATCATGTCAGCTGATATGGCTGTAGATCCAGGAGGTGAACTTGTTGACCCTGGTGTAGACCCCCGGTAGGCCCGGTCTCCCACAGCCCGCACCCCAGCTGACGATGCCAATGAGGAACCAGCGACCCCCGCCCGGCGCCTGGCAGGACAGAGGACCCCCTGAATCCCCCTAAAACACAAGGAATGTAGTCGATGAAAAATCCTTCACACCCACTATTAAATCGCAGGTGATTATGGGGGTCTAAGACAGATGGGAGCTCACCCTGCAGGCGTCCCTCTCTCCGGAGGGGACCCCGGCACACAGCATGCGGGGGGACACGGGTCCATAGCTCTTCTTACAGTCAGTCTGGCTCAGGAGGGACACCTCGGCTTTCTGCAGCACTGAGGGCAGCACTCTGTCTGCAGAGGGGGGGGACATGTGGACACAGATAAACACACATTTTGGGGGCTTAAAGAGAAGTTACTTTATACATTTTCATTTATTAGAGAAACTTGTAAGAGTGTGCTGAAGAGTATCCTTGTGATAGAGGGGCTATATAAATAACCTTTGATCTGATTTGATTGAAGTCAGTAATCTGTATCCAAAGAGATGCTCACCCTCCTCAGAGCGGTACCCCCAGCCGGTGACGAGGCAGCGGTGGCTGTCGGTGACGGTGTGTGAGGGGGGGGGCAGGCACACCGGCTGCACCAGCGGGCGGAGGGAGGCTGGCCACGGCTTCTTGAGCTGCAGCAGGGCGATGTCGTAGTCGAACGTGTACGCGTTGTAGTACTCGTGCACCACGATCCGCTGGATCTCCGCCGTGTGTTTGGCACCGCCCTGAGTCAGCATGCCGAGGTGGGCTCTCCAGAACCGCGGGTCAGACAGCCTGGGGTCAGAGGTCAATTAAGATTATACTGTGTCTAATTAAACAGGAAAATTGCAATTGTTTGGCAAAACAATCAAATTGTATTAAACCTTTTCCTTTGGAGGCAATTTATTAATATTTTGGAATTATTTTCATGAGACATTAAAAACACAGTGGTTTCAAATCTAAAGGTAAGTACCTGAAAGTGTTCAAAAATATAAAATCTGTGGTTGTGACCATGTAACACAAACAGGAAGTAGTTTATCAGCGGTGAGAGTCACTGACCTCTCCTTGCTGAAGCAGTGTGCAGCTGAGATGAGCCAATCAGAGGAGAGGACAGACGCCCCGCAGTGCAGGTTCCCAGAGAAGTGGAGGCTGACCTGCCACGGCCACTCTCCCTCAGCAGAGTCATCCCCCCCCACGATACGACCTGTCGAGGAGTCCACCTTCTTCACCAGGGAGGGACGACCACATGCTGAGGAGACATGCACATATCACCAAAGTGTAAACACAAGCGCTGTGCCACTCTATCAGTGAGAGCTGCAATAGGAGTGTGTGTTTTCCAAGTGGACTTGCTGAGTCGTCACCGTGACAGACAGGCCGGCTGCAGCCTTATTAAAAAAGTAAAGTTTTTCAAATGTGTAGTATCAGTGGGTGATCAAAGACATCTCTGTTCCCATCACCTGGAGACCCCATCATGATAAAATACCCGCTAACAGAGAGAGTCATTACAGCGGGGTCGCCTCGCTGCTGCAGGTCAGCAGGTTTGGAGCGCGCTGCCCAGTGAGTTATAAAATAACAACTTTCCCACGAAGGACATGGCAGAGGACTCGCAGTATAATCACCAAGCATCAATTCCTTCATCCAGAGCCAACGATTCAGGTAGGACAATATGTTGATGTGGCTTTATGAGGTTGATTAAACATGAACAGTTCCTTTTAGTGAATAACAGCTTTGTGATGATGGAAAAGGAACCAGGATGTACTTCACGATCAGCAGACCCTTTTAAACTTTGAAATTCAGCATTCATCTTATTTTGACCAATACACCAAGTTTGCATGCTTTTTTTATTGTACATAAATAAATCTTATGGTGTATACTATTTGTTATCGTTTTTGGATTATTGTTATTATTATTATTAAATGGAGTAACCAATCTACCCCAGGATAAATACTGTATTTTGATCTGATTGAATCGAGATTTCCACTTCCATTATTCTCCTGCTCGACCACTCACCGCAGTCCGCCTCGTCGCTGCGGTCCTGACAGTCGTGAACACCGTCACACCTGGCGTTCTTCTTCAGGATGCAGGAGCCACTGCTGCACTGATACCTGATCGCGGAGCAGGTCGTTTCTGATAACAGCAGAGAACACATCGCAATGTCAGTGATCAAATGATGCGAAGGGAACACATAATAAAAGCAGAGATCCATACCCTGAGTGCAGTTCATCTCATCTATTCCATTGGTGCAGTCTATCTCTCCATTGCATACGAACAGAGGATGCAGAGGACTGCTGCCCCCACAGTTCTTCGTAGGCTTTGCTGTGAAGATATGCAACATTTGATATGACTGGTATAATTAGATTGTGTTATTTTAAGGAGCCAGTACAGTAACCTGGTGAACTTACAGCAGAAGGCCTCGTCACTCTCATCCTGGCAGTCGTCCAGGCCGTCACAGCGTCGACTCTTCTCCACACACAGTCCCGTGGAGCACAGGAAGTGGCTCTCTGGACAGGCTGGTGCACACAGGTGGGGAAAGATACATTAAACAAAAGTTCGTTTTTCCAACACTAAAGTACAGCTTCCATTTCCTACAGCGCCTCCAGGCTGCTTTAATGTTTTGGGTCCCGGCTTTGCTTACGTTGGCTGATATTGAAGCTGCTGTGCGACGCTTGGAAAGGCTGAGCAGAGTTACGTGAGCTGCAGCGAAACTCCACCTCTGGGCTGTGGTCAGCGATCCGAAACACCGTGCTGTGTCCCACGTAGCTGCCGCAGAAACTGTGGAGGGAAAGCAACCGAAACTCTCATGTTTGTGGGTATTTGTAAAAAAAGGATAAAATAATCTGAAATAAATGAGTGTACTTTTTGTTTTGAGTTGAATCCACTCACATGATTTCATTGACCTTCCACCAGCCTTGTTCACAGCCCTTCATGCTCTTTGGGGTCAATACATAGTTCTGAAACTGCAGTGCAACTCCTAAAGCACTGTTAGGGGTCTAGAATCAAATGCAAACACATTTCATAATCATTTTTTTGGCAGCATTACAAAAATAAGTCATGCATGTGTGTGTGGGCTCTACCTGAAACTTCCAGGAGCAGAAGCACTGGGGGGGCAGGAGGCTGGGGTGGAAGGGGCTGTAGATTTGATCGCTGATGTGAGGCTTTACGTGGGTCTCAATTTGAGACATACACACTGGAAGAGACAGGTTACACTTTCAGCACTGGAGCATCCTAAAGAGGCCTCAAGATCAAGAGAGACCTCTTTAAAATGTTAAAATGCAATCAGAACATTAAACAATAAGATTAAGAACCACTGGCACGTAAGAATACAAGGTAAATGTGTCTTGCTTTCTTCAGTGATGGCCTCAAAGTGTCCTCTGAAGCTCTTGTTGCCATTGGTGATCCTGAAGGACAGCAGCATGACATTGGAGGTAGACACCAGGGAGAAGGAGCTGGACACCGGCTCACACAGCCTGCAACACACACACACACACACACACACACACACACACACACACACACACACACACACACACACACACACACACACACACACACACACACACACACACACACTGTACTTAAGTAGACATCTGAGTATTTTCATTTTATTTTATATTTCTACTTACTTTATCAAATCTGATTTTGACACACAAGACTAAGGAAAACCTGTTTAAAATATTATCATTTGGTATAGATTAAACCATCCAATATTATATTTAAGTGACTTAAACAATGAGGGGTTAACAGAAAATGTGAAGATTATACACTTTTGATTTAATATATGTTTAGCTTTTTCTGCAAGGAGTACTTTTACTCCTAACGCTTTAAGTAGATTTCCCTACTCGTACTTAAATATGTTTACATAAGTACCATTCTCCACGCAGTACTTTAACATGGAATTGAGTATTTTTACAGCTTGGCATTAGTACTTTTACTCAAGTAAAGAACCTGAATACTGATTCCACCTCTGGTGATACATGGAGAGACTCATTGGTCTGATGGAGGCTCCACACTCACCTGTGCAGAATGCGCCCTCTCATGGGCAGCAGAGCGTCGTACACCGTCAGAGCGTCGCTCACACAGTCGCTGGGCTCGATGAGGAACGAGGTGACGGTGAGGCGGATCAGAGAGCCGGGCACTGAGGTGAGCTTCACATGGCAGCTCACACCCCCCCATGAGGAGAAGACGTTTAAAGGGACGCTCCCTCCAGGAAGGCTGGCATGCAGCTTGTCGACACACTGTGAGCCTGAGGGGAGAAAACACCTTAATGCACTCCTCTAGTTGAACTATGACTGCACCTGAGTTGAGTATCATCACCTACTTGCTCCATTTGATGAGTAATCTGATCGCTGAACGGCTGCAGGAAGACACAATTATTATACACTTTGTTGATACACACTGTTGGGATGTTCCTTTAACACACTGACGCACCATTAATGAGGATGGAGTCTAAATCCACGGGGAGGCCCAGCAGGTAGCCTACATTGGACCTGTTCTTCATGCTGGTGTGGACTGAGTCCCTAAAGATGGCTCCCACACACTCCTCACACACTGCAGGGCTCTTTAGTCGAGGGACAACAAACACCATCCAGAAATGCACCAGCACGCCGCCCTTGTTGGTGTTACTGGGGTGAGGGAAAACACATTATAAGTGTGTGGAACTCCACCTTGAATAGAGGGTGTGCTCATTTTGCTTCACGCTGATGATGACTAACCTACCTGAGGTCTGAAATGACAGCTTGCTTGTAGAGTCGGGCCACCGAAGACATCTTGTACACATTGCTCACCTACGGGACACCAGCAGTTAACAGTGAGACTCTCTCAGATCTCATGGTCAGCACTAACCATCCTGTAAATAACAGGATTATGTGATGGGCAGATTGTGGGAAAGCAGGCCCCTGGGCACAGACATGCAGAAGGTCAAGATATTTAAACAATATTGTGGTGAGGTCTTTTTTACTATTTGGTTTCACTGTGTAGTTCTTTTGGGTTGTTCTGTAAGCATTTTGTGTCTCTTTGCAACTGTTTTGCACGTCATCAAGATTTCTCTAGTTTCTTTGGCCATTCGTAGTGGTGTTGTAACACTTTGTAGTTACTTTGGGTTGTTCTGGTATCTTTGCAGCTGTTTTGCATATCTTGTGTTTTTTTGTGTGTCTTCAATGTTTCTCTGTGATCATCTTAGTTGGTAGATATCTTATATATGATATGTTACATGTTGTAGGTAAAGGCCAGCCCCTGTGTCTGTGCCCAATAGGCCCATTCAACAATCCACACATGGTTTACATGGATACATACCACGTGTTGTATTTTGTTAGCCATGGACACAAACTCATTGGACTCTGCCTGGCGGTACTCAGGGATAAACTCAACGTTGGCAACGCGGAACATCCCGGCAAAATACGCTCCACTGTTGCTTTCCCTGCGAACTAAGGACATTTAGTCATTATATGGCAAAGTTTCAATGTGATGTAGTATTATAATGACACAGGGAACATATTGATATATACATTTCTATGGACTTTAAAAGGACCAGTGTGTAGGATTGAGCGGCATCTAGCCGTGAGGTAGATCTCCAGGGAAGAGCCCCCACTCCCTATGTGGAAGTGCTCATTTGAAGCTTATGAAGGTGATGTACAGTAATGAAAAAATGGTTATGAATGAAGTTATAATTTCCTACACACTGGCCCTTTGACTGTCCTAATCCTCTCACTTACAAATGAAGACCCACAGCAGTGACCACATGATCACCACCACCACAAACACCACGGCTGTGATGATGACAGTGAGGTGGGGGATGCTCAGCAGGTGGGCCCACAGCCTCTGGAGACCTTTAGGCTTTCGTCTGGTCTCCCTGTACTTCCTGCAGATCTTCTGCAGAGTGTGGTCCACTGTGGAAACCTCCACGGACACATCTGCGATCTATTGGCGGGAGAGAAGACACATAATGCAAAGTGGGTTATTGTAGCAGTATATTTGACTTGCCCTTTTGCACTTGTCTCCTCAATCTGTGGGGATAGTAATAGAGGGATGTGGTTAATGATGCTGAAATGATGGGAGAATATCCCGCAAGTGTCTCTTGATACTGTAAATCCCTAAAGTGCTTTAGAGCCTACAGGATACTAAAAGGCAAGAGAGTCTTTTTACAATAAGGGCATGAGGGCATAACCTTGCAGCTACCATTCATCTCTTATCTCTGTACCTTATCCAGGTCAGTTTAGATTACAAAAGGCTGAACAAAAGGCTAATCAATCCAGAATTGACAGACATGGGAGTTTAGGATCAGAGCATCCATGTTGATAAAGTTAAACAACACATTAGCTGCTAATCTACAGACGGTGATGTAATGTTGTGTCTACTGGACATGACGCTGCATCACTTTAGCTTGTGAAGAGCAGTAACTCCATCAGATGCAGCATCAGCTCTCATTAAGTTACCCAAAGCACATATATTATTCATTCAGTGTCATCCCATACTGTGCAAGCGGCAATCCATCAGCAGGGTATAGATTCCCACGGGAAAAAGAGAAATGTTTTAATCTATTTCACACATTTAATCAAGCGGCATGACATAACTTGTGAGCTAAAGGTTTTGATCATATCTCCAGGGTTTTATCTGGAGAAGCCGCTATGTTTTCAATTAAAATGTGACAGGAGGATATGAAATATTGCGGTTTAAGTCAAAGTGCCTCAATAGAAGTTACACCACCGTTAAAGATATATTACTCACACTGGCAGCTTCCGGCTGAGATGAATCTTCATCTGTGCTTGTCTTCTCGTTCGCCTCGCCCTCTGTGCCCATGACACAGGCATCCCGTCAAGCCTCTATCATCTAATGCCTGGCTTCCTGCTCTTTACATCCATTCTCTTCTTCTTTGGAACAATAAAGGCCTTGTCAAAACAGCAGCAGACACAGAAACAGAGAAGAGCAGCACAGTGTTTAGAGGCAGAGTCGACAGGTGTGTGAAACCAGATCCTGCTGGAGGAGAAGCAGGGAGCTCGTCGATAGGAACGTACCTCCTCCCGTCATATGGCTAATGTTTCATTCATTACCTATCCAATTCACATGAAGTCATATTCAACAACCACTAACAACGTCTAGTGTGTTTGCAGGGTACATGCAGGAATCCTGAAGTCCAATGTAAGACCTTTTACATACATTTTAAAACCTCATCGCCACTTTGAGTTTTAACCGGTTACATTGGAGACACACTTCACCTCACATTGACTATATACAGTAATGATTGTCCTTCCTCCTTATCTTCCAACCATTTGGACGCAAACTTGCATTTCCCCATAACGATGTTGAAACAACCGGCGTAAACCTAAACGGACCTTCGCGCGCTATCGAGCAGTGAGCGCGCGATGTCCGGTTCAGATGACGTCAAATCCAACGGGATGCCATAAATAAATAAACTACACACCTACGCAATGATTATATTCAGGCACAATATAGAATACAACCTCTTTGGTCAATTTATATACTTTTTGAAAACAAGCTACAAAATGTAATACCTTGGAAAATGCCGTATAATACTTTTTAATAGCCTTAATTTTCGCTAAATTGATTTATCAACTTTTAATACTTTAAGACCCCGCGGACACCCTGGGGAGCAAACAGAATTATTTTAAAGTGACATCATTCTCGTTAGGTATGTTTGTACAAGAGTTTTATTTACAGTGTTAACAAGGTAGTGGACTGTGTCAGTTCATTTATCCTCTGGCTGTGCTCAGAGTTGACAGACTCGAAGAAAAACAAAAAGGGTCCAGCCTCTGTGAAATAACGTACGACAACGTAAAGGCAAAATATACACTTTGTCATAATTAACAAACAATATCTTTCAGTTGGAATTAATAGGACAAAAAGGGTGGGATTCACTCTTTAACACCGGCAAAATGGAGTCAGTATTTTAATACTGGTCAATCCTCTTCCAAGTTGTAGGCACTGAACGCCACGATGCAACAAAAACAAACACAAAGAAAGACACAAGAGGCACAAAAAACACAAATCGACATTCACAGAAAAATACAGGAAAAAACAAAGTGTTCTTTGAGTCTTCTGGACGTTGTGATGTCTGAACATGCACAGGGAGGAACAAACAGGGAGCAAAGTCTCATTTCTTGAAAAAGGTGTTGCGGGTGATGCTGTACAACAGATAGTAAGGCTTTCGTTTCGGGGGCTCGGCCAATGAGAAGACCTGCTGCTGAGGCACGCTGGTGGGTATGGTGATGTGACGCTGGTGGAGCGGGTGCAGGTTCGGGTGGTGTGTGGGGACGGAGCCAGAGTAACCAATGGCTGAAAAAAGGTAAACAAGTGAAGCAACAAAACATTAGCAATTCAACTTTAAGTGAATTTAAAAAAACCTGATACATTTAAATGATTCAAGGCTTTACTTTTGCTCTTCTTCTGTTTGGCTCTTCTGGCATTAACAATGGCCTGTTTTCTTTGCTCTTCACTGATCTCCATTCCTGCAAAGAAACAGATACACAATAATGCCAAAATATTTCCAAACACCCCCCTTCAACCAACAATCTGTTCCCTTTTTATTTGACATTACACCCACAGTGGCCCTTTTGCGTCACGAATGAAAGGAATTCCTCAGCACTCACCCATCTCCTGGTCCTCCTTCACTCTGTATCGCTCCTTGGCAAAGGCCTGTAACCACCTCTGCTTGTCCTCGGCCTTCCTGCAGCACAGCACACACACAAACTCCAGGGTGTTGGCGTTGCGCAGGCGCAGAGCGTTCCTCAGGGTCAGGCCCAGGTCCAGGTCCCTCCCGTCGGCCATGTCCAACACCTCGGTCTGGTCCATATCCAGCCGCCCCCGGTAGTGGAGCAGGTCTCTGCGCAGGACGTCTTTCTTACAGAACACCAGCTGGTGGTCGAACAGGAAGAAGCTGCGCTGCTGCATTTTGCCCTGTCGGACGCCTCGAGTCAGCTCACCAGAGTGGATCAGCTCTGAGCTGCGTTCAAGCACATCAGGCCCCTGCAGCGACACGTTTACATAGACAAAGTCAAAAGATATATACAATGTATACAACTGAAATGTATTTAAGGAATAAACCCCTTGAGATGAACCATCTTGTTTTCAAGGGGGTCCTAACATATATAACAAACAGCAAGACGGTACAAATAAATCTAAAACCGAAAAAACTAAATGAGAAAACCAAATCAAGTCACAATACAGCCAACATACAAGACTACAATCACAACACACAAATTAAAGAAACATATTTGGACATAACCACTATATGGCCACAGAGAGGCCATGAACAAATACATTTTCCCAGCAATAAAATAAAAACAAACGTAGTGTTTTGTGCGTGACACATCATCAATAGCAACATGACTGTAAAAGGGCAAAATGTACTGCTACAATAACCCACTTATATTATTCCAGTCTGAAGGAGCTTTGAACATAAATGAGGGTAAAAAGAGTTGACAGAACATATAGGCTAGCAAAAAACCTGATTCTGATTTCAAAGGATTGATTTGAATAATGGAGCTAAGGAATGTTTACCACTTTAATCTGGAGAGAAACTCAAAGTATTGATTCTTTGTTGTCTGCAGGATTTCATCAACTTCATCCTGACTATCCTCACACAGAGTTCACACAGGAATGCAAAGTAAGTTTTATCTGACTCTATCTCTTTATTTGAATTCAAAAGGGCTTCTTTTCATTTCATTTTCAGATAAGAATTAAGATGAGATATGGAGTAATGGCTGATAACAAATATAAGGAGCAGCTCAAAATGACTGTATTTGTGTTTTTTGTGTGTAAATAATCAATTTTTTGTTTGTTTTATTGTCATTCAGACAAAAAATGCAAGTGTTCTGGGTTTCTGCTGGATCAACTGGAACGAGATCGTTTTCATCACAGATCAAGGAATAGAGTTTTACCAGGTTAATCAAGAGCATTTCACTTCATTGAACTTTTTGTTATGTTTGGTTACTGCTTAGTTAATATTTGAATAATCTGTTTTCTTGAATACAGACTATTTTAATTTGCACGATCAGGACGACACAATCATTTGATCTGAAAACACATTAAAGTGAAAGTGTGTGTCTCCTCACCTCCCAGTTTTGAATGGCCACCTGCCAGTGAGCGATGGTGTCCACACTCTCCAGCCGCCTCTTCCTCTCATTGATCAGACTCGCCACGTTCTTCATAGCCTCGTACGCTTTGCTCACTCCGCTGAAGTCACTGCAATACATCAGAGGCACAATAGGCATAAGGTCCACTTCACACACACAGAAGACATCTCCATTCAAACTAACACACTGCATCAATCTCAATCAGGACAACCGTTGTCAATTATTTATTTAAAAATGTGGACAAATGATGGGTGATGCTTTGCTATACACATAGCATGTATTAGCAGACTAAACAATGACATTGTGAGTACCTGTGGTCTTTGGGGGTGTACTTCAGCAGTTCTCCCAGCTGCAGGGGGTATTTACAGATCTTCTGGACGGGCGTGAGCAGGAACCCTGCGATGGAAATGTCAATCATCTGCTGGAGGAGCCGACAGGCCTCAAAGAAATGTTTATATTTTCCCGACTTCATGAGGCGGTGCAGCTCAGCACTGGCTGCTGGGTGAGTGTTACAGTAGTCCGAGTAGATAGAGAAGCCCTCGTCCTAAGGACAAAAGAGAAACAATGAATAAAGATTAAGTTCAGGAATATAAACTAGTGATTAAGTAAACTAGGGACGGTTTTGTACCTGCAAGAGAAAGCAAGAGCCTATTTCACTGAGATGCGGTTGGTCTTTGTTGTATTTCTTCTCCAGGTCTTTGAGAAACTGCCTCTGAAACCGGTAGATGTCTTCTATGTTGCTGAAGATGGTCTTCAACTGCAGCTCAGTGAACATGTCTGGGTGTTTACGGCACTGACGGATGTAACCCTGAAATAAAAAAGCATGTTTACTTCACTGACAGAGGGAATAAAAAAAAGTTCAAACACTGGTCGACAGGAGGTGCTAACCTGTGAAGTCAGTCCTGAAATACAAATCTATCTTATACTTGTATATTACTACAGAGAAGGTGACATTTGTTCAAATGAATGACTGCTAAAGAGCACAACACGGTGTATTGATTACATAGAAAGAATAAGTATTAATGCTGGAGCAGCCTTAGATGTAAAATATGGAAACCTGTACCTCACAGATGTCTTTCAGGTGCTTGATGTAGATGCGTTCTGTGTTCATGATTTCCTGAACCACATTGGTTCTCATCTGCTCCTTGTGCTGAGCGCTGTGTGTGTCTCTGGGAGTTGGATCTTCTTGGTCCGCTACGCTCTCCACACTTTCTGCACTCGAGTCCTCCTGGTTCACTCGCACCTGAAACACATCCACCACACACAATGAGCAGCTTTCAAATCACAATGAAGTCCTCAGAGCCAGCTTCAACACCACACATATCAAACAAATATATATATATAATCTTGTGTTCAATTATGTTAACTAAAGATTGCAGTTAAGAAAAATAATTATTACAAAAGAGAAAACAACTACTTTCATACAAAAAAACTTGACGTCACTATGGTAACAATGTGTGCAAGATTAACCAGCTCTTGTTCAGCCAATTTGATTAAGCTACAAGCAATTACACAACAGACGGCCATCTGCCAATCAAATAACCTCACCTTGGTAACCACAGCCTGCCTAATTAAGACTCAACTGTCAATCAGTGCTGGTCGCCACAGAAACCAGCTGAACCTCTGAGGTTTGAACCCTAACGCACACACTGTTGTTTGAGGTTTGTTCGGAGCTCAGCCAGTTTGCCAAGTCTTTTCTGTGCTTCTGGAGAGCAAACATGCGTTGGACACACGGGTCAGGAAGTCCACTTACCCTCACAAAGCTGGAGGGGAACCAGGCCTCCCTGTCGGCCCCCCTGCCCCACCACCAGTCCTTATCCGAGGCATCCAGGACACGGATAACATCTCCAGCCTTAAAGGCCAGCTCCTGCTCTTCCATGGTCACATGGTCCCAGAGAGCCTCAGCATACACCGTGTGGCCAGAGCTTATCCACTGTGACACACACACACACACACACACACACACACACACACACACACACACACACAGATAAGATGAAGACACAATTACATGCAGGCTAGGCCCTTGTCTAACATGGAGGATTATGTCTAGACTTAGACACTGCAGCCAAACATCTTGAAAACATTTTTCATAAGGCTCTTCACGCTAGGGCTGTACGATTATGGCAAAAATCATAATCACGATTATTTTGGTCAATAATTGATATCACGAAAACATCAATTTATTGAAGAAAAAAAATGTGAACAGTATGTTTTGAACAGTTGGTTACCTTGAACTTTAAGTATAATTCAACTGAAAAACCAATAACAAAAATAATAACAAAAAAAAATTACATTCTTTTTTTTTTTTTAAAGAAAAATAATAATCGTTTTATTTTGATGACGTTGTCTTGGTAATCGTTGCAAGCCAAAATCGTAATCAAGATTAAAATACGATTAATTGCAGAGCCCTACTTCACGCATACAACAGGATAAATATAGCAGAAGATTTCTATGAGTGTTGCAACATGACAAGTTGTCCTCATCAATCTCACCTCGTTGAGAACGGAGAGCTCCACCCCTGGCTGGAGGTACGGTGTGAAATCATTGAGTTCATCATAGCTGCCCTCCTCCTCCTCACTCACGCTGTCATCGAGCGTCGCAGAACTCTCAGTCACACCAACTGCAACACACAGGTTTAATTAAAAACAAACCTCATGGAGCTGAAAACATTCTGATTCAAGTAGTTTAGAAAACAAGCCCCAGATGTACCCCCACACCTGGCTGCACACCAACGTCTTCCTCCAGCACACTTATTGACATTCCCCGCCCCAGCTTTCCCACAGACTGAAATGTCTGATCAACAACAAAAACAGCTCTCACCGCTGAGCACTCTGTGGAGCTTACGCCGTCCAACGCGGTCCAGTCCGATGGGGGTGCTCTGGGAGAGGGTGGAGGGGCGAAACCTTGCAGACACCGCTTTGTAGGGGGGCACCTGGTGGGAGGGGATGGGAGGCCGCGACAGAGGCTGCAGAGGAGACACGGGGAAACATCCTGGGATTCAGGGAGAGCTCACTTTCTCAGGCTTTCACCGATAAACTGATGACTCAACAGGTCACCCCCTTAAACAAAACCTCAAACAATGTTTTGGACTTTCATTTTGTTCTGTGATAACAGTCAGGAGAAAGAGATAACAATAATACTGAGCTTATGGGACGCATTGAGTCCTTGTCTTTTCGTAAAGCTTGATTAATGTTAATATTTATATTTTTTAAGAATGTGTTAATGTTTTTTTCAAACATAAAAAAAACCGGGTGTATGTCTATATTTTTTAAAACATTTTTTAAACAATTCTAAATAATATATATAGTATTAATTATAAAGACTGAAGTCAACCTTGATTCATCACTTTATCCAAACCACATTTCAACATATTCAATTTATAAACAGTGGATGGGATTTTATCAAAATACTTATTTTCTTTTTTGAAATGTGAGTTTCTATTTGATTTCAACTCTGAAGGCTTACAGCAGGAAGGCGGTCCTTCTCCTCAGCATCAGCAGAGAACATATCCCCAACTCCGATCATTGAGATCGGACGCTGCCTCACGCCTTCTCTGTTCACGCTGCAGCTGTCTGGGATTTCTCCATTTCCACATGCACCGCCACTGCAGTCTTCATGCAACGATGCATTTGTTGTCCTTTCTTCAGCAGACAGTTCTGCCACTTCCTCTGGAATAAAGTGCTTCCTGGAAAGGAGCTGCCCGTAGTCGGAGATGGGCCGAGGTCTCGTGCGTCCACTCCTTCGTCTGGGCTTGACGGAGGAGGTTTCCGTTGAAGGGTCTGTGGGCGTTATGGGCGATGTGGGAGACTCTGAGAGACATGCCGAAGAGAGAGGAGAGCTGCTGCTGGTTGGAGATACATCCTCTGTTGGGAGAAATGCTTCTGGGCCTTGTTGGTCTGATGATGCCTAGGGATCAAAAGCAAAAACTCAGTAAGGGCTGTTATTGATTTCCCTCTGTACAATCATCTGCAATGCACAAAATTGTAAAACGTTCAGCTGTGTAGAACATCTGTTAATCAGAAACAGAGCAAAATAGCACCACACGTGATACACTAGTAGTCTCCGTTGAGTCTCAAAGCAGAACCACAAGAAACATTTCCAGTGACTTTTATCAGGACTCTCATGAAATCCTTTATTATCATGAGAAAGTATTCCAGTTCACACAGTGATATGCTCCACAACTCAATAAACCACTTTGCTTATCACGTTCAAACAAGAACTGCATCAGAAATCCCCAAATACTCCTCAATTAAATACTATCTCTGTATACTCATTGGTCAAATATTGGCTAATTATTACATGAAAATGATTGTGAAGTTCGTTAGTCAGCGATATCAACCTCACCTCTCGGTCTGGGTCTGGTCCCCGGCATATACACTGGAAAGGCACACAGTGGACGAGCACCATTGTCAAACAAACACAAAGGCCTGTGTCCTCGAGGCCAAGTCCCTACTGTTTTTTTTATATCCCAGTCAAATCCACTTGATTTCTAAAGTCAGCAATCAGGATTTATCCGGTACATCTTAAAGAGCAATATCCTACTCTCAGACAGAAACATATTTCACTATAAAGTGTTTCTGGCGCTCTTAGCTGTCGAAGGCCCGGCGTCCATAGCGTTGGACTTTGATCCGCCATGCTTCAGCGAAGACGTGAGGCGGGGGCTGTTCTCACTCATAGCTCCCTCCCCTCCCTCCCTCCCGCAGCAATAGGACTATGGAGCCTTTTAGCGCAAGTGCCACTAATCATAAACAAAGCCTAATCATTAACTGTGCTCCTTCTGAGTGCCTGGTGGCACAGAACAGCTGGCTTCGGCATACGACCCAGCTGCGGCAGAAGTCAGTATATCATTCACAACTGACAGGAGAAAGGGACATTGAAGAAGGACTTATGCCTACGTCATTGTTTATTTGACACCGAAGGGGACTTTGGACACACACAGAGCTCGTTATTTCAGCACATGCGCACAATACTGACGGCACCACGTCTACACGAGAACTTATATTGCCCGATTCAAAGTCATGACATGTCGTGAAATCCTTCGTTTCCTGAGACATTGGTCAATGCCCTTGAACTGGGAGATTGGCATCCATTGATAATTTCGCTTCTAGATTATAAGGAAGACATTAGATCCTTCCTTCCTCTTTGAAACTTTACAAAGGGCTTGTTATCTGATAGATTTCTGTGTTTCAAATTCAATGATAAAGGTGTTGCTGATTAGAGGAAACATTTTGCAGTGAAGATCTTTGAGACTAGGTGGATAAATATAACATCCTTAGCTTTTTCATTGTCGTTTTAAACAATCTGCATCTCCTGTGCTAAGAATCAAGGAGAAAGAGTGGAGGAATATTGCGCAACAAAAACAATACTATCTAAGGTATGTGCCAGATTTGTATCACATCCGACCCCCGTCATGTTTACACCCAGAACTCTCCTTCCTTACCTCATGTGGGAGCATGTTGACTTCAGTCTGTTCTTGTTGTTGGCAAGAGTCCTTCACGCTGACAGGAGATGGATCACTTTCTGCTTTAGAACCACTTGTTGTAGTCAGTGATTCATACTGAGCAGAGACACCAGTTGAAGTGTGCTCTGTTCCCTCTGGGGGCTCCACAGAAACCTGGCCGATGAGGACCTGGTGCTGCTGCAGGGTCACATCGTATTCAGGCTGCAGAGGGGAGCGTTCAACAGACATGACCCGGGCTCTGACGGGCGAGGGCCGGCGCTGTCGCTCATTTGTCGTCAGGCAAGGCACACGGCGGGAGTAGTCATCGTGAAGACGTGTCAGGGGCGACAAGGGAACTTGAGAGGTGGGGCTGGGGGAGGGGCTTCGCTTGCGTCGTACAGTGAGGTCGGTCTTGCTGCCTACTAGCTTTAGCATCGGCCCCTTGGTCATTGCAGGGCCCTTCCTGTGGCTGAAGTCCGATGAGGAGACGCTGCCTGACCTCAGGATGTTTTGTGTCCCGTTTGTCGTGCTGCACCCCGGGGCATCCTGAGGCAAAGTAGGTCCTGAAGACGGAGCTTTGCGTCTGAACGGTGCCTTAAATACATGAAGATTATCTGCACTTTTGCTCAGTCTGCTCAGCACTTTCACGTTTGTGTTCTCGTTTGAGTTCTTTGTTTGGACATCGACCTGTGATGTCGGATCTGGGTTCTGGTTTGTGGGTTCATTTGTGCCGTTTCCTGCGAACATCTTACTCCCCGTGTCGAGTATAGAGATACGTCCCGCTCCGTACGCTCTCCGGATACTCCTCGACAGTCGCGTGTTGCGCGTGAGTCCGTCTCCTTGATCGCTTTCTTCCTCATCGAAGTCCTCAATATCTGATTCACACTGGCTCACCATGACAAACTTTTGTCCTTCATCATTTCCATTCGAGGCCCTGTATCCCTCTGCAAACTTTAAATCATTTGTTGCATCACCTTGACCAAAGTCATTGCTGTCCACAGCTGCGCCATTGGCCATATCCGGATCCGATGGGTCGTATTCCCCATTGTGGATGACGGCCCCTCTACTCTGTATACCCTGCAGCACAGAGGAGCGGAGCTTTTTGAAGGAGTCCACAACACCCAGACCTGGAAGTCCCGACCAGGGCTGGGTGTTGCTGTCGTTGCTGTGGGTCGAGGTGAGAGGGTCAGGGGTTGGAATCTGAGGGCCCTTCCTCGGGTTGGAAAAAAGCCTCATAATCCTGGTGGAGTAAGGCTTCCCGTCAGGCGGACCTATAACAGGGTTAGACCAGGCGGAGGAGTTGATGCCGTTCAGTCTGTTCTCCTCAGGACCCGCAGTCATCGGCTGTATTTGGGCGCCACACCCCGACAGCAGATACGGGGCTGCAGTCCTGTCAGCATGACTGTGGAACGGGTATATATCGCTGAGGGGCCGGGTGCGGATCAGAGGGTCAGTTTTGGAGCTGTGGAGGCCCGGCAGAGAGTCTTCACTTGTGGACAAGACCCTGTCCTGTTGATCCTCCTGCAAAACCAAACAGAGACTCAGTTTAGAAATCCTTGCACGTTGCATGATAAAGGAAATCATAATAATAATACTCTTAGAAAGGCCTTTGATTATGCTTAAAGGAATACGAGCATTCTCTATTGTCTGGATACAAAAATGTTTGTGATGTCACGTCTTTTATCAGCTCATATACTCTTCACGGAAACAACAACATTGATTCAGAATGAGTTCACGTTTTGCAAAAGATTCAACCTGAACCAGGCCATAGAACACTGATAGCAACCACACCAAATCCATACAGGGTTGTACAGCTGTTACTTTAGTCAATATTATAGATTATATTTTTGTTTTTAACACAATGGCCTCTTACCGGTTAAAGTACAGGTCGGAATTGTAATTGGAAATGCAAAAATGGCATCAGAACGACTGTACAGTACAGTGTGCTCTGTGTCTTTATGTGTGAGAGGAGGAACAGAGAGAATAAAGGAAAGACAGTTAAACAGGAAGACAAATATCCTTCAGTGTGCACAGAGGAGCAGAAAGGCTTTCGCTGGGAACACTACATGCATTTGTCCTTGGTGCTGTATTTCAATGTCCAAGGAGAGCCGAGGCCCAGGTCAGGGTAGTGTTGTGCTATGTTCAGCATTAAGTGTGTGTGTGTGTGTGTGTGTGTGTGTGTGTGTGTGTGTGTGTGTGTGTGTGTGTGTGTGTGTGTGTGTGTGTGTGTGTGTGTGTGTGTGTGTGTGTGTGTGTGTGTGTGTGTGTGGCCTACTCCTCTTCCATCCCAGTAATAATCTGATTAGTGGAGCTTTACCAGTCTGTGTTCAGGACTGGTTTCATCCACACATGATAGCCTGATCAGGGCGACAACTAGGCTATTCAGCTCTGACTGAGAGTGACACCCAGAGCTCGTTAGCAGCCCACCAGGACCGGACTGCACGGAGCCGCACCCCCTGTGTACACTCTGCATTTAGGGGTGAAAATTGAGAGTTAAAGGCTTAAATTAAAACACATATAAGAAACATATTACCTCTTTTGTGGTCACGTGGTTTTGTAATAGATAACATGTGGATTAGGTGAGCACATATGCTACCGGTTTCCGGAGTAAAGTCTCATATTAGTTCATGACCCAGTTCCTCATTTTTTGATCTGGCAGGAAAAGTGAGATTGGGAGACAACACGCCCCTTTCTATAGAGCGTGGGAAGTACAGGTACAGGCTAAACCAGGGAGTGTCTCACACAGGCAGCCACTTACTCACCCGATCCGCTGAGGACTGTCATAGGAACAGACGGGCAGAAATCTAACACCACACAGTGCAAGTCTTACAGAGGACAAAACTCCACTGAGCCTCGTTGTCATCAGTCAACAGTGTAACCTGACAGGAAGGCAACAATTATCAAAAGGCTGATCCATCAACATTTAAACACCATGGAAGCAGAGAGATTCTCAAGATCACAAATCCACTTAAATTACACGAGGAACTGAGATGATCTTAATAACCAGTTCCCATCAATTAGTGAGATTAGAAGTAGTTTATGCTCCAGGTGGAAAAACACTTTTTTTGATAATGAATGAACACATTATTCCCTTGGCACAAACGTCCTTTACGCCCGACTCCCAGCACCGGAAATAGCTGGTTCAAGTTGACAAACAGACACAAAGCTATATTTTATGCCTCTATTATAGAACGTATCCCGGTGTGCAATTATACTGTAGAAGTTTGGTACTGTTGTACAAAATATAGTCATTATAAATCAGAGGACTGTGACCTATGATTGAGTATTTCACGCAGACTTATCTAGACATCTCAGGTTACCTTTAGTATAAAAGTCCATCTGGGGGGCCATAAAAAGAAGATTATTGATCGTAGTAAACTGTAATGGCTGCAGACTGCTGCTAAAAGTGTAGCCAAGTTGTTAAGAATAAAGCAGAATCTGAAAACAAGGAGCTGAAGGGGATTACACTGAGGAGTTTTCTAAGCGCATAAAGAACTCAGGGCCAAACTGCTTATTTATTTCTGCATTAATTAACTTTCTTAGGCCATAAAGCTCTTTGTAGTAGTAGGTGCCCCCCCCCCCCAACCCCTCCTTCACCAACTCCCTGCAGCCTGCCATCTCCCACATCACTATAACAACCACGGCTGTAATGCACCACAATAACCCCCTCTGGTCCCATTTCAAACAAGAGCTCAAAGGGGGAAATCACCGCAACTGCAAAGTAAACCACAAGTAGTATTAAACATTTAAAGGAATTATAGTCAAAGAATAACTCAGATATTGTACCTAAAGTTAAAGTAGAAGTACCAGAGTGCAGGAATACTCTGTTACAAGTAAAAGTCCTGAAATCAAAATGTTAGTCAAGTAAAAAGGATTTGCATCTAAATTGACTTAAGTACTCATTGTGCAGATTGGCTCATTTCAGACTCATATAGCTGAGATGTTTTATAAGTATCGATCATTAAAGCGTTATCAAAGCTGGTAAAAGGTGCAGCTAGTTGTAATTACTTTGTATACTGCAGGGTAGCTTGTGAATGTTACTCCAGGTGTAACTAAAGTCTTATTAAAGTTTTGACTATAAGTGATGCTATTAAATACATGTAGTGGAGTAAAAGTACACAATTAAGCTCTGAGTTGTAGTGGAGTAGAAGTACAAAGTGAACAAATAACTCCCACCAAATTGAATTTAAGTACAGTACTCTGGTAAATCTACTTAGTTACTTTACACCACTGCATTTAAAGGAGTTATAGTATCACTAGTTGTGGCTGTTTGTTAGATCAGCGGTCACTACGCAGTAATCAGGTAAGACAACTTTTGCTCACCCTGCTCATAGTCGCTGATGTTGTCCTCCTGACCCTTTTTCCTCACATCAACGGAGCAGCTGTTTTTGTTGTTCAGCCATAGTGAAGTCGTTTCTCTGAGCTCCAAAGGCTTTTTGCCTCGTCCTCTCGCAAAAACATGTCGGTACAAAACACACGACCAGTCCTCTGCTCACTGCTCACCCGGCAACATATTGAGACAAACGGCTGTGACTTCTTGAACACATTGAGCTAGCAACTTAAGCTAACTCTCTGATAAACTTCTCCTTAATTGCGCAAGCTTTTGCCGCGTTTAATTTCGCTTTCCCCGACCGGCAAAACCTGATGCTAGTCATGTAAGTTGACTACATAAATACTGACTCATACTTTTTCTATCGAAGTTGCTCAAGAAAAGCTCATAATATCGCGGTTGAAGGAGGTCTTTCTTGGAGGCTTGAGCATCATTAATGCACTTGTTGCAGTGTTTCTAGGGGGAGGGGCTTAGCGGGGTTACGATGGTCTTAAGTGGTTGACCACATAGTGACCGTTGGGCTGTGAGCCAATCATAAGTAAGTATGTGACACCATGACCGCAAAACCACGCCCACATTGGAACGCTGTTCATTGAAGGAAAAAAAAGGAGAATGTTGTTCCTCACTTCCTGCGGCTCTTTGAGATAAAAAAAGACTGCACTTTCCAGTTGGGTTTTTCACTGTCTTCCTCGTGCCATCTCATTGAATCATGCCCAGAATAATTAATGGTATTTCTATTGTGCATGCCCATCCCCAAACACCAGAGCAATGACAACTAAGTGAATGTTGTATTGTTACACAGCAGTATTTAAACACATATCTGTGGTAGTAACTTTTGATACAGACTACAATGACACCTCCATTGCATTTCAAGTTTGTTTGCTTTACTTCACAGGCTGATACTGTCATTTCAGCAGAATTACAGGTTCAAGAACTTATAGGAAAATGTATTGAATTGGTATAACACACAAAATAATCTGATAAAAAAAAAACTAGCATGATGTTTTAAAAATGTATCAAAGACAAAAGGTATTTTCTATGCTTAAAATACAATTACCAGCATTCATTAGGAAATGGTGCGCAATTTAAGCCCCAAAGATCAGGAACCCAGAGAAGGTGGTGTCATCATCTTCATCAGCAAAGAGCCCATTGTACAGCTCTCCTCCAGCCACCTGCAGCCACACCTTGTCCCCCGCCTCCAGGTGCAGCACAGCGCCCCCTGCTGCCTGGTCCTCACTGTTCTGGTAGGTATCCGTGGTGTGGATGATCTTCGCTCCGTTCTTCACCAGAGCCACCTTCACGTTCCTGGAGTAGACGGTGATGTGGTAGGTGAAAAAATAGGCCCCTGCTGCGGAGCATGTGAATCTTCCTGTTTGCAGATCGTAGTGATTCTGTGCATTGTAGATGATCTTGTCAAACCGAATGGGAGCATTAAATGATGGCAGTTTACTCGTCGCTGTGAGTCCCACGGAGAAAGCGCTTTTAGAGATAACAACTGTGTCGCCCTTCTCACCCAGTTCCCCTTTCTCGCCACGAAGCCCTCTGTCACCTCTATATCCTATACTCCCTTTATGACCTGGGACACCGAGGTCCCCCTTAGGCCCTGACTTGCCTGGGGGGCCCAATGGTCCCAGAATGCCTCTGTCACCTCGAAGGCCGATTTCCCCCCTGGGACCCTCTGGTCCAATAGGTCCAACCTCGCCTTTAGGCCCTTGAGGTCCGGGCAGCCCGAGCTCTCCCTTATTTCCTTTCAGGCCAACGGGCCCTTGGACCCCTTGAGGCCCCATTTTCCCAGGAGGCCCCCGTTCTCCATTGTCTCCCCTTTTTCCTTTGACCCCTGATGGGCCAACTGCACCTGTAAATGACAAGCACACATTGTCCTTTTATGCCCACTGTTCACTGTTGAGTAAAGCCAGATAAGAGAAACCTATATAAGCATAAATGGTGTTAAAGTAGGTGAAATGTATACAGCGGGTACATTTAAATTATTTCAAAACGGGACACTTTACAAACTTTCCAGTGTAGTTTTATGAAAATACATACCGAGTTCCCCTTTGTCTCCCTTGTGTCCATCAGTAGCTGCTGCTCCCATACGGCCAACTTGTCCTTTTAGTGGGTGATTCGTAAATATGTATTGTTATAGATTGTAAAGATGAAGCTTAAGACATTTTAAAATGTGCATAATAGTGAAGTTGTAAAGCAGGATTCTTCTCTTGTAAACTTACCTGGATCACCTTTGTCACCTCTGAGTCCATCTCGGCCGTCTCTGCCAGGTGTGCCATTGTGTCCGGGGTCCCCAGGTATCCCAGGGTGCCCGAAAACACAGCCTTTATTTTGAGTTTCCTCCTGTGTAACACACCTGGCTGCCAGTAGAAGAAGCAACAGAGTGACTCTAAATCCCAGCTGCAACATTGTACCTAATGCACCTGTCTTAAAAAAAGCTAATATCCAACTATGCAAAGTCTTTGGACAGGAGTTAAAGCCAGTTCATAGTTAGCCCTATATCCACATATCTTCACACTCAGGAGGAAAACAGCGGAACAACAGACAGCGAAGACACCAACTAAAGAAAACAAAAGCTGGACAGGAACTTTGGACCACAGTGACCTCTGTCCCCAGTGCCATCTCATTGGTCAGGCTGCGTTTGTGGCTTACTTATTGTGTCTGTCAGTAACATATCCCTTTCAGATGCTTCTCTAGTGTAGTTGAGGCTAATAATAAGCACACAGTGTATGTCAGGGCCACACATGCAGAAGGCCACATACTTTTACATGGGCAGCATTCGGTTCAGTGAGCACACAGGATATCAAGCACAGAGGATGACATCTCTGGCTTTGAATTGAGCAATAATAAGACATTACAAATGGACGCCATTATATTAGCAGACATTTTTATCCTGATTTAAAGAGCAGCATTGTGATAAGTCACTAGATGATAAAATGTTAATTCATGCTTGCTTCGTCTCATATGTGCTTTCTCAAATGCCACCAGTCAGAAACAATTGTCCACATAAACTGGATCACTGACATACAAAAATGACCTTTTGTGGTTCAGAGCCGAATGCCTTGGACAAAGGTTTATCTTAATGACAGTGCCATTTAGATGGTATCTAGATGAATGGTAACCATAGAGCAGACATAAGGTCAAAGAGTTTTCGTAAGATGGTGAAAGCATCATTGAAAACTACAACCAAAGAACATTACAGTATAGGGTTGAAGAGTTACTTCATGGCAGTTCTGGTGGCTTTCTTTGCTACACCCTCCACAAATGCATATCAACTATCTAGCAGCATTATTGGTACAGCAAGGGCTTAAATAACTTACTTAGGGCCACTCACAGTGCTTGCCTTTTCTGGACTATCTGGTAGAAGTATGCTCAACCTAATCATTATGTCATGCTGCTGCCCCTTTATTAGATTGTGTACGGTGGAGAGAGACAGCAGGGAGGGACACAAGGGAGGAGCTGTAACATTAAACCAAGATAAGAGAAAGAACCCACTGAGAATGCAGAAAACACCCCCGACTCCCCAGTTATCAACATACCCAGCTTGTGTGTTTCACAGACTGACACACATATATGTTCACATCCTTTATTTTCTTCTTCAATAATCCTTCTCACAAGCCTCCAGGTATAAATATATTTAAATATATAAACATGACAACACATAAAAGTGCACGTTCAAGCAATGTCTTTACCTGGCACCAGAAATGGGGTCTTTCACACGTGTTGGCTGCTGCACATTGACTTAAAGATGTGATCGAAAGAACAAATAACATGGGCATGGCTCAGAATGAAGGGAACTCATTTCTAACTACCAGGACTCAGTCTCTGTAGTCCCGTAACCAGGCACAACGTGAGGTTGATTTGGTTACAGAGGATACTGCAACAAGTCTTCAAGACAAGATAGCAGAGACGTCGTCATTCATTGAGTTCCATTAGGTTTAAGGCTAAACAATTACACAGTAAAAGATCATTTTATAACAATGATAAATAAATACACAAATGGAAATAAATAGCATACAGCATGCCTTAACAGTGGCTTACAGTATTTCAGATGTTTATAACACTGATGGTTTGTATAGAGATTCTAATACTAAATTATCGATGAGACTAAATTGATGACTTTAAGGTTCCTCGTTAGGTAATCATTTGGACAGTAGACAACGAGCATGTGGCACAAGCGAGGGGACTTTTAAGATCTACAGCATTTGACATCATTGTTTACAAGATAAAACGTTTGGGAAAGCAGCAATTCCAGGGAGATTGAGGTTGACATGGCAGGTGCTACAGAAGAAATGGAGGTTTCGGGGCTACAGCGTTTGTGGTATTAGTAGAAAAACAAGGTCTGGAAGCAGGGGTTAGTAAGGGGTCTACATGATCTGACGGTGCTGGCCGTAGCCCGTCATCCCGGCCTGGGAAGCCCCGCGATTACTGCCCATCTGCAGGCCGATCAAACCCTGACCCTGGCGGAGCTGCTCCTGGCTGAACTCCCGACGATACCCCTGGGCTTTCCTATACAACAGTAACAAATACAGAATGAGGCGAATGAAGCATCACAAGCATGCAAGGGAAACATTTTGAATTTCCTCTGTTTCTCTTTACCTGTTGAACCAGTCTCGGTCACCTCTGTAATGCCCGTCGTCCTTAGTGAGAGCCACGCTACCAAGAGCCATGAGAGTTCTTTGCACGGCTGCCATGTCCTTTCCTACAGCCAGAACAAAATGATCCTTCTGTCATGACGTGTATTGCAAACTGATTATCACCGGGGAAAAATATATATGACGCCAGCGGGAGATGGCATGTAAGTAATCGGAGTTCAAATCACCTTCCCAGAGGTCCACCGTCTGGAATATGTCAGTGGTCGAGACTCCATACGCTTCAGCCGCCTGCAGGAACTGAGAGATCTTCTCCATTTGTTTGAAGGCCATCTGTGTCTCTAGGATCTTCTTGATAGGCTCCTTTCCCCTCGGATACAGGCTGTTGATAAGCCTACAGAGGATCTGGAAAATAACATTGAATTAAATTCACTAAATTAAGGGTTTTAGTTCACTCACATGGTCGTATTTGGCATGTTTAAACGCCATAAATCATATTTTTGTTAGGATTTGGCTGTTGTCCTTGCCTCAAGAGACGCAGAACGTGCATTTAGTTATGAAAGCATTTCAAATTGGGAGTCATTTTCATGTTTTGTGGCTGCGTTGCGTAATTGTCTGTTGAGTAACTTGCTGGTGTGGAAATTGATGTCTCTGCCTTTCTCCTCTGAACATTAGTCAGCTGGAGTGTAAAGTGAGAAGATACTGCAGCATCGTGGAGGGTGCATTTTATAATTGGTTGTTGATTAAGTTTCTAAGTAGGGAGTCTGGGGAGCTTTTCACAGAATGACTCAATGTACAAAACCCTACATTTGCAAAGCAAGCACCAAAACAATTCAAACATTAAAAATCATTGTTTTTACCATAATGGCCTATTCTTCCAGGTACCAAATATAACATATCAATAAATGCAGATGAATATTATTAACTGAGTCCATAAAGAACTGGAAGCATAAAGCCGGTTGCTAGCCTTGTTTGACTCCATAGGCTTTTCAAATCTGACAGACCACTACTATGTTGTATCTTAAATAATTGAATGGCAAACTATTTTAAGCGGCGGTGCTGCAGCCACTCACTGTTCCATCCATCAGCCACTTCTGGAAGTTCTCCCTGCCGGGCTGCGGCCTCTCCATGTTTCCTCCGCACTGAGCCACGATCCAGTCCACCAGCCGCTGCTCCAGATCCACGTCGTACTTCTGCTCGATCTTCGCCTGCACCTCTCGGCTCAGGCCGTAGCTCGGCCCTCTGTTCGCCATGGCAGCTCTCTAGTGTGCAGTGTGTAGTGTAAAGTGGCCCTGAGGAGAAAGGTACACATAAAGGTGAAAAGTGAAATATAAAAAAACATCATATGGTTCCTATAATGAACTTTTGTAGTATATTGGTGAGTTTTTTGGTGTCTGCTGTGAGTCTTTTTGTTTTCAGAGAGTTGACATGTTGTCTACTAAAATAAATACATCTAAAGCTCATAGCAACTCAACTGCAACAATTCTGACAAAAACATCATTATGCTGATCCTATAGTAAGCATTTTGGAGTATAATAGGGGGTCTTAGTGACTACTTTGTACCCTGTTATGAATGGAATTGCGAGATAACTAGAATTCTTAGTTAACATTTTTATTTGTTTACTAAAATAAAAATCTATTAGGGCATTATCATTAACCTTCTTAATGTTTGTAAAAAAGATAGGCCTACATATAAGGGGGAAATCGCAAAAGTATTTCTACATTAAAAAACCTAATTACAGGCTACTGTTCTTTTTAAATATAAGTTGTAGTATGTAAATGAATACTTTGTTGTGTATTAAATAACTACAATTCTTATTGAAAATAGTTATTTCTTTACTACAATGAAAATAGCATTAGAGCATTATACTAAACTATGTTTTGTTTTTTTATTTAGGTTATATAGTCTCTCTCTCTACAGCTTGGCAGTCCACCCACCCTGAAGTAACAAGTACATATAATAGGCAAATAGCAAGACTGCAAAACTGTTCTCATAAAAAAGCATCATTATAGGCTAGCGTCTTTTAAATACCTCCTGTAGTATGTTAGTTTTATATCCACTTTGTTGTTGCACTATAGCATCTAAAGCATCAGAGCATTTAACCATCTTAGTGTAACACATTATCCAGGTTTTATAGTCTCTCCTCCCCAGCCCAGCATGCGCATCTCTGGAGGAAGGGTGTGGTCCATGGCTGCTGTCCCGGACAGGGACATGCCCTCTCATTGCTATGGTAACAATCAAGCCAGTTTCCGGCACGCTGTGTGCAATGATGCTCTGCATGAGGTGAAGTATGACCTCCATGCAGACACACGATGAGAATGAAATATCCTAAATGTCTTTTCAGAAAGTTTGCCCTCTTCCAAAACACGCATTCATACATGCGTATAGCAGATCTATATTTAGCCTGCAATACAGTTTAATTAAATTACGTCAGCTCCTGCTTGCCGCATTTAAAGGTTTCACTTTTGACTTTGACACATTTCTTCAATGCATCTGTTGTTTGACGCGAGTTACATTCAGTAAACTCAAAGGAAATCCCGACACCACGTTGCTGCGCATTATAAAAACATGCTAAAGGTAACTGCGTAAAGCTCACATACTAACTGCGACACTGAATCAGATAATTAAACAAATATAACTACAATGTCATGCACTGAAAGCTGGTTCATTGAATAGAGGCTGCACTTACTGGAGAGGGTGTCCGGTCAGTGTGTCAGATCCGCTGAGCTGTGCAGACTGAGGATGCTGAGCCTGAGCATCCATGCAGCAGAAACGGGATCCTGTCCGGGGGGGGCGGTCACTCTTTATATACGAGGAGGGGTCCCTGGAGACTCCCAACACAAAATGCGACGTGACACTGCTTCCGGACACTGGTCACTCACTCACTGTATAGTGCACTCTGGGCAGCATTAAGTGCAAATTGGTCAAGCATCAACCCACTGTATATACCATTTAAAAATCCTTCATCATAACTGGGAGACGTGTAAAGTCACTATGTTTAGTAGTCATTTACTTGAGTATTTTAAGTTGTTGCTACTTTGTACTTCTACCCTACAACAATTCAGAAGTTAATGGTGTACTTTTTACTACTACATGTATTCATGTTCTGTTGATTGTTTTGTTTTTTATATATTATTACCTAGTACTTTTTACTACTATTACTTAGTTGTATACCCCTTTTATCTAGGCCCTTTTTGTATCTGTTTTATATGTCACGCTGTGGGACTGCGAGAAACAGTATTTCCAATTTTTTTACAATGTATAACACGTAAAACATGTAGAATTCTTGTCAATAAAGCTGACTTTGACTTGACTTAATACCTACTTTGCAGATTTGGATTAATGATATGAAATATTATCAACACCTATATAGTTCCACCTGGTGTAAATCCACAAGCTACCCTGCAGTACACAAAGTCATTCAAACTAGCTGCACCGTTACCAGCTTTGAGAACACTTTAATGATCAATCATTATAAAACATATCATAGATATTATTCTGAAACTGCACAATGACTATTACTTTTGGTACTTTATTTTGATGCTAATACTTCTGTACTTTTACTTAAGTAACATTTGCAATACAGGACTTTTACTTGAAACAGAGCATTCCTAGACTGTGGTATTCTACTTGAACTTAAGTACAAGACACGTCTTCCACCTCTGATAACTGGTTAACAAAGTGTTGTTAGAATAGCTGCTTTAACCGGTTAGTCTTCCTCCTGACTTATTGTTTGTTTGGCTGCAGCAAACACTAAGGTTGTTACAGTATCTGTCTCTTAGTTGTGTAATGAGAGCTAGTTCCTTCTACTTAAGTTTGTTTGTGCTTGATAAGTGTTTGGGGGTAATATGTAAGTATGTATTATCTTAGTTGACTACACAACAAAAACCCTACTTACAAAGCACTTCCTGGTTATATCTATGGTGCAAAAATATGCTTTCTGTAAAACTCAAAGCAAAATGAGCATATAAGTAAACATCGCTCTAGAAGCTTCTCTTGCGTTATAACTGCCGGGCTTTATGCTCTCATAAATAGACGTTTGATTTGAGCTTTGACACAGAAAAATGAGTGACTACACAGCTCACCCACGAGTTAAAGGTCAGCGCTGCAGTGAAGTGGCCCCGGGAGTTAAGTGGTTGGTTGCGCCCCATTGAGCATAGTGCTAGTTGCCAATTACATGTTAATAATCAACAGTCCAGTGGCTCCATTCAGCTCTCCGTGGCTAAAGGCCAGCAGGTACAGGGAGTCATGTAACAGACTGTTCTGCTAACTAAAATACACACTGCAGAAAAAACAACCCTTGATGATTTTGACTCGCTATACAGTACCGGGATTTATTATGTGCTAATAAACTTAGCAAATTGTATTTTTGTGCAGTGTTTACTCCGTATATAAAAGACATGTGCTTATTTTTTATATGTTTCTTAATCATGATGTTTTGAGGTCTGAGTTTGACACTTTTTAGAGTACATTACTTAAAGGTTTCTGGAATCCACATCTCAATGAATAAAATGTTACTATAATATAATATCATTGCATTTCAATATCAACAGCAGTTGTTTGCCAGCTGATTATGACGTGTTGGTTGTGGTAACAGACTGAGACCTGTGTGCAGTGGTTTTATTGGCCAAACGGGTGGAAAGTGATTAAAAAAGGCACAGGACAACTATGAATCAAAGTCAAGAGGGAGGGGGGGGGGAAACAGTCAAACAGTAAGATCGGCAGCATCGGGCCGCAGCAACTGATGCCTCTAACCAAGGCCAACACAACACACTCCATATAATAACCTGGAACACATACATATGCAACCTGAAGATATAAGGGAACCGCTTACAGGGAGGCTGCTGATAATAACGGCATGTTGAAATGACACATGAAGTGCGGGAAGAGGGATAAAAGGTCATATTTGGCGGGAAAAAACATGCCATTGTTTGGTAAACTACTCGAGGGTTGACTTCCCAGCATTCAGTCCTTCTTTCCTCATCTGAGCAACCTCTCAAGCTCACCCCCCCCCCCTTCCTCAGACCAGAGTGGTCAGCTTGTCTATGAGGTCATCGATGGTGTAGACCATGAGCTTGATGTCGTCCCTCTCGGACATGCGGTGCTGGCCTTGTCGCCGCAGGATGACATCGACATCGGCGCTGAGGATGCGTTCGGCCACCTGCATGGAGATGTGCCAGGGCACGTCCTCGTCCTTCAGTCCGTGGATGAGTCGCACAGGACAGGTGATGGGGATGGGACTCTGGAGAACACAGTGATTTTCTGCCTCTTTCAGAAAGTCCATGTTAAAGTCGTGCAAACCCTCCTCCGGGTGCTTGGTGGGCAGAGTCCACGCCCCCTTCTCCTCAAACACCTTGCGTGCCTGCGCAGTCAAACAAAATCCAACTCAGGAAAACATTTAGATTTTCAAACAGAACATGATATATGTGATGTTATCTGATCCCTACCTCCAGAGAAAGAGAGTTGTACACTGTGACGATGTGGTCGGCGGCAGTGGAGATGCCCACCAGAGCTGCAGTCTTCTCCGGTCTTGCAATGGCTGCCAGCAGCATCAACCAACCCCCTAAACTGGAGCCCACCATTATCTACAAGAAAGCAAAAACAGTCAATTCATTGATAACACTCCATCAGTAGATTTGTGCAGCGTAATCTCGGCAGTGGAAGACTAATGATACAACAATTGTTGCTACACAGCGCCATCTTCTGGAGGCATAGTGGAACATACAGTGTATACTAGAGAAAGAGGATGTAATCATTTGTAATAGTGCCAATTCTATTATTGATTTTGCTGTCTGTATGGTTAATTGGTTCTGTAACAAAACTCCTTTTTGTAATTTGTTAAGTGCAGGAGGAGATTTGTAATATAGGAAATTCAATTACAAAATACTACATTTCGCATATACTCAAATTCGTTTTTTCTTATTGCTACTTCAGTTAGATGGTTGAACCTTAATGTGCAGCATAGAATACGTGCAGAGTTTGGTACTAATGTTTGGTTTGCAAATGTGAAGTTTCTCTGTGCTCAACCTAAAGTGGCTAAAGGTAATATTTTGAATTTAGATTATGAAGTATATGTTGATTGCACAATGCCATGGCTGTACAATAATGAGCCTCTGGTTTCAATTGGTTCCCTGTTGGCCTCACGTTAACTATTCTTTCACAATAAAAGCCTTAGACATACAGCTGTGGAAAAAAATGAAGAGACCGCTCCAAATTGTTCTTAAATCTCAATCTCTACATGTATGGCAGCCATTACATTCCCGTGTCTGTTGAATTCCAACACAGAGAAATGTCGCCAGTAGTTTTTCGAATAAAATATAAAAATGTACATTTTACTCAAACACATACCTATAAATAATAGAACCAGAGAATCTGATAATTTTGTATTGGTCTCCAGACTGTATTTAGAGCTGTATATAGAGCTTCACTGATACCTAGATATTAGCATAATATGTACCATTTAATGCATGAATATTGAAAAACCCTTACTGAGTAAAATCAATGTTTTCCAAGTCCTATATTTTGACCAATCTTGGTAAATGATATCAAATGTTTCATATAAAAAGCTAGAACAGTGCTTATTCCTGAGAGCCTGTATCCGGACATTAAACCTGTTCTAAATGCGAACAGACTCTTATATAACTTCCTGTATTAGGCTGCAACCCCCAGTTTGTGCGAGCAGCCATGACCAGAGGAGATATTTACCTGTGGCCCCTCTACTAACTCATCCAACACGTAGAGGACGTCTTTTTTCCAGGTACCGATGGTTCCTTCTGATAGCACCCCCTCCGAGGCCCCATGTCCTGTGTAGTCAAACCTGGGAAACATAAATAGAGCAGACCATGGACACGGGTATCAGAGGCTAAAACATAAGCAAGCCGTGACAGATCAGGGAAAGGTTACTTTTCTTTTAGACATTATGAGTGCAGTAAATCAGCTATATACTGCAGTAAACATAGGATGAGGCTGTTAAGTAGTCAGTGTGATGAAGACACGTCGTATATCTAATCACCTCAGGAATAGAGGCTCAGGAGGATAAGGAGAGGCGTGTAATGGTATTTTTAAAATATGTTAATTAAGTGAAGGAGTCATTTAAAATTGAGAAAACTAAACATAAGTTTTGGAGCAGATACACATTTCCAGTTGTTTCATCGTTTGAATGCACTCCTATAGGAACTAGATGAAACACATCACTGCTTGTTATAACTCTGTTACATTTAAAAAGGTATTTGGCACACAACATAGTGCAAGCAAACCCCTCTCTTCATAACCAAATCCACAGAGAAGTATTTGATATATACTCTTGTGTTGGGGCATCATGCTCCTTGTAATTATTATTTACTTTGTCAACTTTTCTGCCGTTTCTTTGTCTCGTAACGCCACTAAATGTATGGTATCTTAATGATATAGTGAGCATGTATTTTCTCACAGAAAACTACATTTTGTTCCTATTAATACACCTCGGGTGCGTGGTGAATGTATGCATCTTCTCCACCTCATGTATGTTATAGCTTAGCTCCGTATACATCTTTGGTATATCTATAATGAGTAAAATAATAAACTACACAAAATACTACAATATACAACATGAATCAAGTATGATTGCTGAGAAGAAAAGTTGGATTGTTTTGTAGGTTTTTACACATACGATATCCACAACCAACACTGTATGTATACGGTATGTCTGTTTGAACGGATCAATGTTGTACTTTACTGTATGAGTTTTTGAGGACTTACCTAAGGTATGAGTGGCCTAGTGACTTACAGAACTCCTCCAGTGCCTCGGCTTTCTGCCCATTCATGTTGGATCCATATCCCGGGAGGAAGAGCACCCCGGGGCTCTTCCCCTTCACCCTCCTGTAGGCCAGCTTGGGAAGGTCTGGTCGGGAGGCATACTGGACTGTGGACTTGTGTCTCCGGGCCCCTGGTGGACACAGAGCAGAAGATTATTGCTATGGAAAAACATCTTATGTAAATGTTGCACATTAGCCAAGTAGCTAAATTAGAAATACAACTTTGCTGAACACATTGTCACACCCACAGTGGTGTAAAGTAACTAAGTACATTTACTAAAGTACTGTACTGAAGTGCAATATTGAGATACTTGTACTTTACTTGAGTATTTCAATGTTATGCAAATGTCTACTTCTACTCCACTACAGTTCAGAGTTAAATGGTGTACTTTTACTCCACTACATATGTGAAATATAATCAACTCTTAAATCAGATACATACATACAAAGTCATTAAAAAACTAGCTGCACCATTACCAGCTTTCATAACACTTTAATGATCAATAATTATAAAACATATCATATATTAGTCTGAAATGAGCCTTTTTTCGTATGCTGGACTTTTACTTGTAAAAGGGTATTCCTACACTCTGGTACTTTTACTAAAGTACAAGATCTGAGTACTTCTGCACACCCCATTTTATAAGATAAGGCTTCTTCTGACGCTAACTAGAAACCCGCACATGGATAATAGAAAAACAGCGTGGTCATTCTTTTCATGTCGACCACCAAGGACACCAAGAATGCGGGTAGATATTCAACCAATTCACCAATGAATGTAAAAATAGGTTACAAATAAAACTTACATCAAAGGACATGTTGCAAAAACAATCGCAAGCGCTAAATCAGCACAGTTACATGTCCTACATTTTTAAGACGACGCAGTCTGTGTGAGCCACACCCCCTCGTCTGCGTTTAAATGCCCTTATATATAATTTAAACGGTGTGAAATTAATTGTGCCTAAAGTGGAGACTTGAACAGACCTTCGAGACGCTGTGAGGACAAAGCAGCAGGGCCTCCATTACTTAAAATCTGTGAAAGTCCTCTGCGGCAGGACCTCAGCGCGACGGCTGCCATACTGCTCCGCGACCCACTGGGGAAATATCGCGAGACTACTCGTTTACTCGCGTAGCACAACAGTTGTAGTCCATTACAGCAGAGTTCAGTAATTACAAAAATAGTATCAAAAGAAAAAGTAATTATTTCATAATAAAAGGTCCCCGTCAATGTTATTTTTATAGGTTTGATATTTTTTGAATTATATAATTTAGAGTTCAATATATTTATTTTACTTAGTTATTCTTTAATAGTCTGTTTTATATTTGCAATTTGAGAGAAAGTGATCAAGTATTTGTTCACATCCTTCACTTATTCAACAGTAGAAATACTGCACTGTAGAAATCTGTTACAGAAGTCTTGCATTCAAAATGGCTCCTGTGAGTTTGTATTGAGGCCTATGTGATATTATTAGATAAGTAATTATGATGCATTCATGTATAAGGCTAATATTTATTGCAGTTTTACTTCGTGGAAGTGGGGCTAATTTGTCAAGGGGTAATTAAAAAAATCTTGTTGTAAAAAATAATAATAGGTTTTGATAATAAAATAAAAAAATCTTCAATATTTTCCTTTAAAATTAAGGGGAATATAAGTAAACAGCAGCAGAAAATAAAAAAACTGTAGTAAATTTTTTCATGCATCATAGTTTGTAGCCTATTTATTTAGCTTTATTCCCATCGGGATTCAGGAGTCCATGCATTAGTGGCATGTAGCCTAGTGGCTGAGTTAAGAGAGGATCCCCACTATAGGGGTGACTACTTTTATAGGATAATACAAAATATAAAATATAATGTAGGCCTAGTTGCAGCAGGGAACTTGTTGTCTGTGACTGTCATGTGAAGTGTAAGTGTGTAACATGACTCAGAGCGTCACAGGCGGAAGGTCACGGAGCAGCAGAACGGAACGGAAGCGGGAGTAAAAAGCCTATCCGCCATTGTGGAAAATGGTAAGACACTAGGCAGTTTCAGACTGACTGCTAAACCCCGATCTCTGGCAGGATCGCACCTTATAACCTGACGCTTTACCCCACACAGACCCAGCAGAGTCGCCGATTGTAAGAAGCAGACGCGCCGGAGGAAAACGGAACATTGTAGCCGCGAGAGAGTGATTGGACAGCCGGAGAGACGAGCCAGGAAAGCACCGAAGTGCAGAGAGAGGCAGGGGGGAAGAAGCCGTGGACAGTCTCACACACAGCTATCAGTTTCGGTTCCTGGAGGATGTCTGCGACCACAGTCGATCAGGTTGGTGTATTGACACCCTAAAGCGGCTACAAAATAGCCGTGCGGGGGAATGAAACTTTGCGCACAGTTTGATCTGATTTGGCACGCCGGATCAAACAGGCTGCAAAGTCTTTGATATGTGGTGGCTATTAGCTGTAATGTAGGCCGACTGTATTGCCAACCAACTCTAGCTGTAACCGGTTGCCAATGCGGCACCGTTTAGTTCCTGGATGTCACACAGCGTTTGATATCCGGTCAATAAACGCGAAGCAACCTGTAAATGTGCAGCTGATGGGTTTTAGCCCGAGGAGAAGACAATCCAATGTATTTCTGCATGTAGGAAACAGCCTGTTATCTGTGTGTGCTTCTTGTTTCCTGTCGTGATCTGATCTCTTTTTCCTGTGCTGCCCATTATTTCAGAGACCCAAAGGACAAGGAAATAAAGGTAAGGCTTTTAACACGGGTGGTAAAATGGTGCACGAGCCCTCATTTATAAATGCTACTTCATAGGGCGACTGTTTTCATGGAAATTAGCTAACATGCTATCTGCATACTGAGTGATTCTGCTTTGGAAATGTAGCCTAAACTGCAGCTGATGTATGTTAGCAGTGATCCCTAATTCTGCATTTATTTTGATGTTACACAACACTGAGATCTTGTCTTATTTTGGATTATACCAGCATAATTAATTTACATCTTGAAATACCTCTGACTCACATGCAGCACACATATGATGAATTACCATCCTCTTTTTCCATCCTTAGTGCAAAACGGATCAATGCATCAAAAGGATGGAGTCAACGATGATGACTTTGAGCCTTATCTAGGCGGCCAGACAAATCAGGTAATGTCCTAAAATAAACCTTTATATGATCTATACATACCATACATCTGTCACTAGTAGGTGGCCAGAATATAACCTATATTTTATGTCACTTTATACTATACCTAGAATATATTATTGACGAATTAGCTGCACATTTCAGCCATCACACACATTAAAAAGAACTCCATTCCCTTTTAGATTTTCTTGTGTCTCTAAAGATGAAAAATGTTTCTATACCTTAAAGGTGGGGTAGGTAAGTTTTGAGAAACCGGCTCGAGATACACTTTTTGTTATATTCCATGGAATGCTCTTAACAGCCTTAAAGTGCTTTGACAAAAAATCCATAAAAAAATGTCATCTGTGGAAGAAGCCGTAGTACTGTAAAAAGCACGACCAGTCATCTGAGCCGGTCCGGCTAAAGTAACTGGATGGTCTACCTGCCTGTCAGCCTTCCATCTGTGAACAAACTTATCTCGTGCCCTCATTGGTCATGTGCGCATTCGTGTGTGTTGGTCGAGAGGCTCTTTGAGGAAGTGGCAGATTTTTTCCGGCTGTGTATTTTCAAATTCTAGCACACTCGAGCTGGTTTCTCCAAAATTACCTACCCCACCTTTAACTCACAATCCATATTTACTGTGCATAGCATGTCATCATGTTTAATTACTAGATGATTTTATTGTTTTTCTCTCGTCATGTTTAGTACATTACCTGCCTGTCTCCCTATCCCTCACAGAATAACAGCTACCAACCAATGTCTGACCCCTACATGCCCAGCTACTATGCTCCATCCATTGGTTTCCCTTACTCTCTGGGAGAGGCCGCCTGGTCCACAGCAGGAGACCCCCCTATGCCCTACCTGACCACCTATGGACAGATGAGCAATGGCGAGCCTCACTTCCTCCCTGACGGTGTGTTTAGCCAGCCCGGTGCCCTGGGGAACACCCCCCCCTTCCTGGGCCAGCATGGCTTCAACTTCTTCCCTGGTAATGCAGACTTTTCCACCTGGGGAACCAGTGTCTCTCAGGGCCAGTCCACCCAGAGCTCGGTCTACAGTAACAGCTACGGTTACGCCCCCAGCTCTCTGGGTCGGGCCATCACGGACGGACAGGCGGGCTTTGGAAGCGACACCCAGCTGAGTAAAGTGCCGATGCTGAACAGCATTGAGCAAGGTATGACAGGCTTGAAACTGAGTACGGACATGGTGGCAGCTGTCACCAAAACCGTGGGCTCCCCACTGGGCACAGCAGGTATGAGCAGCATGGCAGCCAATAGCCTCCCTCCGCCTGTGAGCTCCTCCGCCCCGAAACCTGCCTCCTGGGCGGCCATCGCCAAGAAGCCGGCCAAGCCGCAGCCGAAGGTCAAACCCAAAGCCAACATGGGGATGGGAGGAGGCGCCATTCCCCCGCCCCCCATAAAGCACAATATGAACATTGGTACTTGGGACGATAAGGGCTCAATGAACAAGCCCCCCTTAGCTCAGAATATGATGCCCCCGCAGCCCATGATGCAGCAGCCTCTCCTAGCTCAGCCCCAGCCCTTGCTGCAGAACCCGTTGCCCCCTCAGCCCCAACACCATCACCAACATCAACAACATCACCAACAACATCAACATCACCAACAACATCAACATCACCAACAACATCAACATCACCAACAACAACAACATCATCACAACAACAACAACATCATCAACACCAGCCCCAACACCAACATCAACACCAGCCCCAACACCAGCCCTTCCAGCTCCACTCTCTCCAGTCCCCCCAGCACCCCCAGCATATGCCCCCTGGCCCCCCTCACATGCACCTCTCCTCTCAACCTGGCCCCCCACAGCCCCTCCATCAGCAGCAGCCCCAGCAGCCCGGTCCACCCCCCAACCGCTGGGTGGCTCCCAGGAACCGTGGTGAGGGCTTCGGTATGGTTGGGGGAGTCCCCCTGAATGCCTCCCCCTGCTCCGGTGAAGTGCACCCCGTGCTGGAGAAGCTGCGCGCCCTCAACAACTACAACCCCAAAGACTTTGACTGGAGCTTGAAAAACGGGCGCGTTTTCATAATCAAGAGCTATTCTGAAGACGACATCCACCGCTCCATCAAGTATTCCATCTGGTGCAGCACAGAACATGGCAACAAGCGTCTGGACGGTGCCTACCGCTCGCTGGGCAACAAGGGCCCCCTGTACCTGTTGTTCAGCGTCAACGGCAGCGGGCACTTCTGCGGCGTGGCCGAGATGCGCTCCCCGGTGGACTACAATGCCTACGCGGGCGTCTGGTCTCAGGACAAGTGGAAGGGCAAGTTCGAGGTGAAGTGGGCGTTCATCAAAGACGTGCCCAACAACCAGCTGCGACACATCCGGCTGGAGAACAATGACAACAAGCCGGTGACCAACTCCAGGGACACTCAGGAAGTGCCTCTGGAGAAGGCCAAACAAGTGCTTAAAATTATCGCCACTTTCAAGCATACCACCTCAATCTTTGATGACTTTGCACATTACGAGAAACGTCAGGAAGAGGAGGAGGCTTTGAGGAAGGTGAGAGATACATAAACATGAATAGATCTGTAAATAGCTTGCTGGTATGCATGTGAGAGTTCAGTACAGTTAGCCTTTCTCTTAAATGGAGGAAACTTTCCCTGAGTCACTGCTCCAGGCTGTAATCAGCTGATCTCGTTCCACCTGCTCCTCGGCAGAGGCTGTAACATCCTGTGGCTGAGCGAGCAGTCTGGTGTTAAGGGAAGTTCCTAGAGGCCTGTTAGTGAATTGACATGCCACCATTACTCATCGGAAGATTCAGGAAAGCCTGAATCCCCATCAGCCATCTTGTGCTGTGGAGATTGCGGTGAAGTGGAGTTAGATGCATAGAGGTTTCCTGAAATAGCCCACATTCCTGGCATTCCTTCTCTCAGACAAAGGCAGATGTAGGCTCTGATCTCTCTTTGAACGCAGAGCCTCCCTGCTCTCCACAGGCTCCTCTTGCTTTATTAGTCTTTAACAACATAAGCCCTGGGCCTGCAAACTGGCTGCCATGTGCCTCAGAGTTGGAACAGTTGGCCTTGGATGTACTAAACGTTCAACCTTAAAAAGAACTGGTTCACAGCATAATACATGGTGATCACATTTGTCTGTGCAAATAGTTGTGAAAGGCTCACCCAGTGGGGAACCTGAAATATGTCCCAGTGGTAATAACAGTGGTGCACCACAAATGTTAGGCTAAGTGGTAAATGCTCCGTGGGAGGCTGTGGAGAAACGGCAGCCGAGGAGAGATTAACATGCTAGCTATTCTGCAGCAGCCATTCCTAGATTCACCAGTATGCTAATCTGATTGCGTTTACAAAAACCCCCACGACCCCCTCCCTTCTTTTTCTCCCACTCCCCCACTGCTGGTGCTCCATTGATGCTGTATTGACTCTTCTCTGCTGACCTTGTTAATATGCGCTGGGTTACTTTCTCATAAATATTTCAAGTCAGTGTTTTCAGGCTTCTGAAAACAACCTGTCAGTAGAACGCCTGTTTCATCCTGCGCTGTGCAGGCGTTGCGCTGTGCTGCTTTTGTAGCCCTGACCTCCTACATGACAGGATAGGAGGCCGGGCGGAGGCTCACCCTCGCCTCGCCTGACAAGGTTAATTGTTCTCCGTTGTTTGGCCTGTCCTTCCCCAACTTTGAGAGGTGTCAAACCACCAAGCTACCTGCACCATAACAACCCCTCCCCTTAGTGCTATCCTTAAAGATGGCTTTGGATCTAAATGTTGCTGCAGGATTTTATTAGCATATCTAATTTGGTCATTAATGCTAAGAGGTTAGTGCTTTTCTTCCTCTGAAATAGAAGCTCATGCTGTTAGGGTGAATACCAGTCTGCTGTCCCCAGGGTGGGCGGCCATTATGGAGATAGAGTTACAGTGCAGTGGTCTCACGGGGATTTTCCCAGACCACTGACATGGACACCCACTCCTCAAAGGACTCTGTATTCCTACCTAATTCTAATCCATAACACTACCTTGAATATTTGATATTCAAGTCGGGCTGTGATAACTTATATTTTGTTGAGTGTAAACATATCCAAACTTTTTTAGTAAATTCCTTCCTTCTTGTAGCGCATACTTCCCTACTGTATCACTCAGTTTGACACTAAACAGAACAAGTGTCCTCACTTCAGTGATTCATTAGTGTTCCTCTCAGTAATGAGTAAGATAAGGAGTGGTTTTTATATTAGGAGCCTAATGGGGCGGTGGTGGCGAAGTCAATAGGGACTTGGCTTGGCAACTGGAAGGTCACCAGTTCAAGTCCCGGCAAGACCAAGTGCTACCGAGGTGTCCCTGAGCAAGGCACCGTTCCCTACACTGCTCCCCGGGCGCCGTACATAATGGCAGCCCACTGCTCCTAACACAAGGATGGGTCAAATGCAGAGAAACAATTTCCCCACGGGGATTAATAATAAAGTATATCAAAGCCTGTAAGTAACTATTTGTATTCCTTGCAACTTCAGTGCATGAATGACAGATGCCGTCAACCTAACATTTATCTTTGAGGTGTAATTGATTAAAAAAAAACAGTGCCAGACCACATTTACTCAAAATTAAAGCATTGAAGTAATAATTGAGATTTGGGGATTAGCAAGAGTGCATATGGACACAACAAAGGCATTACATCTATTATAACAAATCAATTAAATATCGATCGACTTCTTATAGGCTCTTGGATGTCAGATGTGTTCAATGCCTGCCATCTTTACTGGGCCCCTGAGTTATTTGAGGAGATTAAAGGCATCTGTAACTGACAGCATAGAACAAACTAAGTGAATTATAATAGGGCCACAATACAAATGTCATTATTATTTTTCACACATGGTCTACATCAGACCCCACACACATGTACTAGGTAGCTAACATGCTAAACCTCTCCTAATCTCTGACCTGAATGATAGGGACATGTGGGCCCTGAACTTGTATTATCCTGCACTAATATCTGCGTATGTTTGTTTACTGTTGTTCTGATGCCATCCACTGACCATCTCTTTCTGCTTTCTTTCTCTCGCCAGGAGCGCAATAGAAATAAACAGTAATCTCAAGCAAGCTCTCTGCTAGAACTGCAACACTAATGACGTAGGACCTTACATAAAATTTGCCTAACCACGAAAGGAGGAAAGGCTCTCACAACTCTTTCCGCTGAAGACGACAATGTATGTGAACACTTGACAATAGATGGACTCATCCGTATCCGTTGACTGGTGCATCAAACCCCGTGTTCCTGTCTCACGAGAAAAGAGCGTAACCCACTTTGAAAACTGTCTCTAAAGCACTTTCAGTCCTCCTAAACGGCCTCTACCAATACCCTTAACTCTCTAACTCTGTGTTCTTCTTCTTCTTTGATTTTGTTTGTGAGCAACTAACTGACTAACCGAAGTAGTCAGAAGATTTCACCGGGCTTATTTGTAATTTTCTTTTTTTTAATGCCTCAAATGTTTGGGATATTGGTGAGCCTCGTCAGCTCCTGAGGAGAATTAAAGATGAATTTGACTTGAATCTGTATTCAGGTGTCTGACCCTCCTCAGACAGAGGTTTGGATGATTGACAGGTTGGGATGAGATAATTGGGAAACAACTACAATCATGCCAATCATAGGAAGTGTCTTCCCTCCACCTGTTCCCCTTCTTTTTCTGCATCTGTTTCTGTGTACCAAAAGATTACATTATGCAGCGGGCTGGCGAGCTCCGGTCAGTGCACATCTTTGTTTTTTCTCTCTTGTGGTTCTGTCACTCTGAAGTGCATTTGTCTGAGGAGAAAGCTGCTGCTCTGATGTTGATGTACTTTTCGGTACGAAAGCTCAGGCTGTCCTCAACAATTCCAAGCACTTTTGGGAGAATCCCCCACACCGCCCCACCCGCTCGGTCCGAGGGGATTCCCCCAAAGCGGCAACTGCAAGGATGTGACAGTTTTCTCCTCTAGATAACTCACTAGCTAAATAAAAATTATCCATGTTTAGCGCAAAATCTTGCTTTCGTGTTTTTACTCATTTGCCTCAGAAATGTATACATTGACTCACGCACATTAAAGTATAAACTCTCCTCCTGCAGTGCAAGCCTCCCTTTTCTATCTGCATATAAATAAACCATACAGTAGCAGCTCTATTTCTGCTTTGCATATTACAGACAGTGAGTGTGTCAGGGTTTGGTTTGACATATAGTTCAAGTATAACTGTACAGTATATATACGTGAAGATGACATCATGCCGGCTATGTGGGAGGCAGTCTAAAGTCGTTTACAACACAGCTGCAGGCCTAACAACACATACTGGCACACATTACAAAGACATACAGGAAGTGGTGGAAAGTAAAGTACACTACACCTCAGAATAGAATATTTTACTCTTTACTCCACCATAAAAATATTTAATAGTTACTTTCCAGGTTAGGATTTTACACTTAAACATACAATAATTGTATAAAACTAACACATTGTCCCAGATGAAACCAATTGGCTTTTTTAGGACATGGTTTCTTTTGAATAACTTTAAATTATCCAATATTTCATTAAAGAAATTGCTTAAAGGAGAAATTAAACTAGTGCAGAGGGCAAGATACATACTATTTAGAATTATATGTTTTGACATAAGATTATATAGAAATCTGTCAATTATTATCTAAAAATAAAATATATACTGTGATGATAGAATATAAAAAGTTACCAGGACAGATAACAAATATAATAAGTGTGTTTAATTCTATAGCTACTTTGAGGGCAGACGTCAAAAAGGGCTTCACAACAATAGGCAAAATAACAGAAATGAAATAATGGCTAGAAAAAATATAAAAGACTAAAAAAAACTAAACATTGATAGGTCTTAAAAAATGGGCATTGAGTTGCTTTTAAAAGCAGGTATAATGTATGTTAACATAGACAGACTTGTGTCCTATAAAAGCAGACATAACGATAGCATGCATTTACAAAATAATACTGTTATTACAAAACATTTTCATTGTGCGTTTTACACTTGTGCCATTAGGGTTTATGTATGTCATGTATTGTATAATAAAATAAATTGACAATGAGTGATTTCATTATCTAAAACATGAAGGACATGATTCTCTATGTGTGACTTTTGATATGTGTCCAATTATTTAATTCCTAAAAGGAATTATTTACCTTTCACGGTCAGTCCACTAGAGGGCGCCACCACATCAGGCTTCATCCAAACGTCCTCAGCGCCAGAGACAGAGTACAAAGCCTTTCCGTAAGCAGCAAAGCCCTCTTTCTTCTCAAGCCCTCCAACTCCCACAGACACAATTATAGCAGGGTGAGAAGCACTTGTTGTGCTTCCACAGCTTTCTGGAGCAATTAATGTGAGCCGGCCAAGCTGTGCAGTGAGAGGGAGAAAGAGGATGTGAGCATGGAGTGAGAAAAATCCCTCTTTGTGTTCGTCAAGGAGGAAGAAAGAGCTGTAATTATAAAATTGACGGCTTTGGTTTGTAACCTCTGTGCTCTCTTTGTTAATGTGTGCATGCATCAGGTTTGTGCAGGCGGTCTTTGAACACACCAACCTTTCCCTGCTTCCATTTGTCGTGCGAACACACCAACAACACTCGCAGCGCCCTCACTATTACTTGTCGTGTGTGATGATGCTGAGATGTACACATTGTCAAATATGCAAAACACTGATTAAATTGTAGACCTCTGATGTGAGGCTGATTTTACTTGATGAAAAACACAGTGTGATAAGATTAATTAGTTTCAAGAATATTGAATAATTAGAAACGACATGAAGAGGCCACATTATACTTTCTGGGGTTTTTCCTTTCCTAGTGTTATATAGGTTTTAGTGCATGTTAACGGTCAAATCTTAAACATCCCTGCAGAGGGAGTTCCTAAACGCCTCCATTGGACTCCTTCGTTTACTTCCTGAACATAGTGACATTAATATGTAACACTGACACTTCTATTGGCTAGCACTCATACACATTGGACTTGATAGGCTAGGGGGCGGGACATCTCTAAGCAGTTGAGCCGGCCAGCTAACCAATCAGAGCAGAATGGGCTCTGGTTTCAGACAGAGGGTGAAAAGAGGTGCTGCAGCACAGGCAGTATGAGAGAAATAAAGAGCTTTTTGAACATTAAAGCATGGAGACATGTCACAATAGAGACACTACACACTGATATACACCTGAACATCAGCAGGAGAGGACTCTTTAAAGTAGAGACACTACATACTGATATACACCTGAACATCAGCAGGAGAGGACTCTTTAAAGTAGAGACACTACATACTGATATACACCTGAATTTGAGCATAGGGCCCCTTTAAATCATACGCCAACAAGCCAAACCTTTCTGTCACTCAGCTTCAGTGGCTGATCATGTTGTTTTAACCATTTTTGAATCACAGTAATGACTTGAACGCAGCGTTTAATTTGCCCCCATCAACAGCGGTCGAATCTGTTCCAAGAAAGTGCCAAGCAAACTTTCTGCTTTCTTTTTTTCCGACCATCAAAATGTCCTTCTTGAGAAGGATTGAGCAGAGGGAAGATGAGAGGGAAGGAGCATCCTCTGCTTAGGGAAGTGAGGAGCCTTTGAAGTTTCAGTCACACCGAAGACTCATCAACACATGGCTCAAGGCAAGGTTAGGCCGAGGCTCAGCGTTGGCACTTCTCCGATGTTTTGAAGGTTTTCACACTCTGGGCATTGGCGCGTCACTCAATAAGTCCTCACAGAACATTAGACCGATTGATGACTATGTCTACTGACACGCAGGATGATCACAGGAATTAATTTGAATATGTTTGTCTGCTTTGCTGATTAGCATTGTTTTACTAGTTTAGTTAAATGTGAGGTTAGGGTAAGTGAGCATCAACAATGTAATAGGACTCACAGTTAAACGCTACATGGAAGTTTCAAGGTGCTTCTCAGCAGGTGAGATAATCAGAAGAGTTTTATATTCTTCTGACTGACATTAAAGGTCCCCTATTATACTGTTTTTCATCAATATATTATAGGTCTCAGATACAAAACATGTCTCTGAAGTGTTTGGCTCCAAACACCAAACAGATCATTGCAGCATTACCCATAATCCCCTCTGTTCCAGCCCTGTTTCCAAAGTGCTGATTCTGTGTCTGTTACTTTAGATGAAAATAAGGNGAGACATTTCTTCACCGTCTAAACAAGGCCGACACATAAAGTTCTAAGATCGCGTGAGCTCGACCAAAGGGTTTTAATGGATGGGGTGGAAATTCACAAAGGGAAAAATACTTTGCGCTGGTGGGACACCGGTAGTCTCTGTTATTGTTGAGGTTGTGGATCTACTTTGTCGTATTGATGGAACATAGATGAGATTTTGTGTGGTGTTAGTTATTATTTATACAGTTTACACCTATATTTATTTTGGGTAACGTCTAGATATATTTAGTTTTACATTATCTCATACTACTAATAAACCGGGATACGTTGGGCTTACTTGTCTTAATGTTCCTCTATAATAATAACGCTTGGAATCACAATGGAAAGAAACAGACGCCCTGGTTAGTTTCAGAGAGGTCAAAGCTAGGTGTAGCAAGCACAGCTCCTTATGTGACAGTACGGAGATGGAAGTCAAGTGTCGTATTAACTATATTGGGTACCGTATGTCTCTGTGGAACCTTTTCCCGGTCCCTCCTTTTGGAATCTGTGAATTTCCAGTGGATAACCACGTTTTAGGTGAAAAAGTACAGAGAAGATGTAGTGTACACAGGGCAGAAGAAGTACAATACAATATGTATTTGGGGAGACACCTTTCTCTGAGACTGTCAAAGTCTTTTTTCTAAAAAGAGAGAAAACAGTGACTAGGTAAGATATTTGGACAGACTTTTACTCGAACTAGTCTAAACCGGTTAAACACTACAGCGGCATGCAACCACAGTCCAGGGGAACTTTCATTTGAAGGAGAGAGAGGATGTCGACGAGTCGGTGGGGCACGGGTAGTTAGTTCGATGTTTACGAATTAGATTACTTTGCGTTAACTAAAACCAACCCACATTGGTAACATAAAGTAATCTCCGGGGGGGTAATCTGTTACGAGACGGACAGCGAAGGGTGTGAGTGATGGGTGTGTCCAACCGGGAGTGTTACACTGGACGACGAAGAGGTCGGACGAGTCTCGCAGGGAGGATAGTGAGGATGAGGTATCGCGTCGTCGCGATGTATCTACCGTCGGGTGTCGGGGTGTCCGCTGTGCATACTACGATTCTTGTTAAATACGTCTACACGCGATTTTGGTGAACGCACACATATTAGGTTGTTAGTCAGGAGTAACACTACTCATTAACAGTATCGGGCTCACGCCACAACACGGCTAATGTCCGAAGCGTCTCTACGGACTTCGTTGTCGTATCGCGGCGACCCATTGGGTTGGGGGGGGGGCGCTATTACACTGAAACACACACGAACGCGCACATGACCAATGAGGGCACGAGATAAGTTTGTGCACAGATGGAAGGCTGACAGGCAGGTAGGCCATCCAGTTATTTTAGCCGGGCCGGCTCAAATGATTGGTCGTGATTTTTACAGCGCTACGGCTTCCACAGATGACATTATTTTATGGATTTTTTGTCAAAGCACTTCAGATATTTATTGCTATCGGGATGTTAAGAGCATTCCATGGAATATAACAAAAAGTGTATCTCGAGCCGGTTTCTCAAACCCCCACCTTTAAACCTAATTTATACAAATACAGAAAGGAATATAGGCTATACATAGAAAAATGTTTCTGTCTCACTTTAATACAAACAAAATCTAATTAAAGGGATACTCCAGCAATTTATTAGTGCACTCCACAAAGTTGGAGGACAAGAAGAGACACATATCGAAGCAGCAGAGGTTAAGATATCCTGACAGTATACGGATAAAGCTCCAAATGTCTCGATCTTTTCGATGCAACTAAATGGTGTCTTTCATTAGAGCCCTAATGCTTTCTGTATGCCTACTCCTCTCAAACCCCACACTCACAGTTATTAAAGGGGCCTTATTATGCTTTTGTGGTGCTAATTCACAGCTTGAAACATAATGTCTACTTGTGGGACGAATTCCCGAGTTTGACTTAATACTTAA